TATATATATATATTTCTTTAGAATTAGAGCTAGTTCTATTAAATTATCTATATATTTTAGAACTAGTTCTATATAATTATGTTAAATTTTTAATATTATTGAATGGGAAGCACTGTTATACAACATGCCATAGTTCTTGCACTCCTATATTCATGAGTGATATGTTAGTTTGTTATGTAAAATGTTATCTTATTCATTTTAAACTTGTGTATTCACTGAAATCTTTATATTTTCACATTTCTTTTCTCCACCACTTTGTATTATATATATGAATCAAAATTGAAATTTATACTTTGCGTAAATAAGTAAAAACTAGAAGTAGACAGTAAATCCACATAGTTAAATTTAACAAATGTTTTTTTGCAATGTATGTTTCTTTCGAAATTGTATCTTAACATTCCTTTTACTCATTTTCTTTATACATTTGATTCTTTTATGATTTTTTTTATTCATTGAGGAACTTTTTTGAAAGCGCTAAAAGGGAGTTTTATCTTAATTACAGTCATATAAAACTCTAGTCAACTTTATTTTTTATTTTGTGCGATTTTAGTTTGTGAGCCATTTTATTAAGTAAACAGCACTTTGCAATAGGAAAAAAAAATGATTTGGACAGTTATAATACTTACATTATAAAAATAACAATAGCTAAAACTTTCATTTGTGTTAAATCACTACATATAAAAGAACTGTCAGTTCAGATAAAAAAAAAAGGTCATCCGAGTGAAATTTTTAGCTAAAGGCCATGGTTTAACATAGACTGTTATGTCAGATATGAGAATGAATTATTTAATTCAAATCTTCAATCTGCTCACCATATTCATAGTTTTTTTAAGATGTGGGCTACAAATTTAAGCTTAAAGCTTTGCAGGATGTCAAATATAATACTTTACTATGATACATTTACTATGACTCATAAGGCATTCCTGCTCTTGAATTTTGAAACTGATTCTAAATTTTCAATTTGTTTTATGTTTAGAATCAATTGTCATATTGTGCGATTTCTTTCTTTAAATACACTTACAATGTCTCTAAAGCTCTTATTTTCATAAAATGTTTTAAATTAATTACTAGGTATTTCTTATCTTTCTCCATAATAAGCTGAGCGTATCTGAAGTAAATGTTTCATTACATTTTATTTTGATAAATATGTTAATTAAAAAAAATTATAATGAAAAGTTTGTTACCCCTTCAATTATATGACAGTGTAAATATTTAACTGCTCATTCATTGAGGTAGCAAATACATTATGTAAAAAGTTGTGGCAACAACTATTTCACAATATTAAATTTATTAATTACACAGGGATTTCCAATCATTTATCAGCTCTTACCTATTTTGGAAATTTAAAACAAATTTAGCACACTTGTACTAATAAGCATAAGAGACAAAATAAAACTATATTTATAACTAATATATTTATTGAAAATATTCATTGTTGATAAAAATTATTTTTAAGTTTATGTTTTCCTGAAGTGAAATAGGTATGACAGGAAATTTTTATGGCTACTTTTAATTGTTACTAACTGTTATATAATGTTGAGTAATAATTTATATCCTCTGCAGTAAAGGAAGTTCCATATTGTGATACTTATTTTTTTAAAAGAATGACCTTTATTTATAGCCCTTAAAAATAAGGAATGTAAATGAGATAGAAACGTTGCTGCTTCTTCATATTTTTTTCATAGGCACAAAATTTATCGGAAAAGATATTATTTTATCTTTATTATCAATATGTTTAATTGAACTGAATCTATCCTTAATTTTGGTTGCTTTCTTGTACCAAACTTGCCAAAGGAGCTCAACAGTTAAATAGTAAACTTATTTCTTTTAGCTGAAAATTGAAAATAAGGTTTAAAATTCGAAATATTTTGTTTTCTTCAAATTTTTAAAAAGTAGGAATAGCATAATGATCAGAGAAAATAGATGAGCTGATTAATTTTTAAAATTAAGTTTCTTAGATGAATTCAAGTTTCAGAACTTACAGAATAATTTTTATTCTTTTTTTGTCAACAATGATGAAAACTTCTGTAAAAAAAATTCTTGTATACTGTTATTTAATAGGGTATTTTTAATAACTTGAATCTCTTAATGAGTTTAACTATAGTAAGATTACATGCATAGTATACAGAAAAAAATTTAGAAATAAACAAGTTTTTTTAAAAAATGATTATGTTCAAGACAGCTTGGAATTTAAATTTTAGGATTTCAATGATTTATTATAGGCATAAAGTGTGTTAAATTTGTTCTAGTTAAATCTTTTTTTCTTCCACATATTCCTTTACTGCAAAGCAATGGGAAACATTTTAGTTTTCTCATTGCAACTTTTTTTTACGGATAATACTATAATATAATTTTATTTTTCTTTCTATCAAAAAGGAAAAAATATCATGCCTGTTTTGAAAATATGTTAAACAGTCAAAATAATGCCTTTAAAGTGGATGTTTATCATGAATTTTTCGCACAGAAAGTACTTTTTCTTGATATCATAAATCTGTGCATAATAAGAAATTTTATTTGTTACAATAAGTAAAATTTTTTTTTGTCAGGATAAGACCAATTTTTTTAAAAAACCGTATTAAGATAATTGGGTTTTGAAGCACCAGGAAACATACTAATTAAATTTCTGCAGAACTTGCTAAGCATTTTATATGATGTATATGTTATCGGGAATCAATACTTTTAGGGATATAATAATTTAAAAATGGAGCAAATTGTTTGATCTTAACTTTCACATCATTATGTCTCCACACTGATTTCTGGAAGGGCATTTTTCTTCATTGAGGTTAATTGAAAACACTTGTTATGTGATATTTCCATAACATTAATATGTTGATTTTTCTCATTGCTTTAAAAATGCTAATTGGCATAGGGAAAGCTTTGACCTATAACTAAAACCTTAAATACATTAAAAAAATTCTAATTTCTGTTTCTCGTTGCTTTTTAAAATCTTGTGGGTTCTACTGATAGATTGGGAATCTCTTACACCTTATAAAAAATTTACATCCTTTTGTAAGTTAAGAGCTTATAAATAACTATGTAAAATTATTTTATGAAAATTGAGAAAGGCTAAAAGAATTTAATAAAACAGGCACGTTATATTTTTATATTGTATGCTAATAAATTTCATTCACACTAAAATGTTTTTCAATTCTCCTTTCTCAATTTTACAACTGAAATATTCTTCTAAATGCAATAGTTTGGCAATGTTTTCATTTGTTTAAACTTTAAAAGTCTATTTTTGTACTCTAGGTATATACCTAATAATGTTGGCTATATAGCTTCTATAAATGATCTAGACCATATAAGAGGTGTGATGTATAGTAATTCATCACACCGTAGATAATATAGAAAGTCGTGTGTTCCTGATTCATGCAGAGAGAATTCATCTGCATCAACACAGCCTTAACATGGTGCTTGTTTGTAGTCATTTTCTTTCCAAATGTTCTGTGATACATGATTCAACAATCTGTGCCATATTTGTGAACAATAAAGTATTATTTACGCACTTGGTGTCATGATCTTTGTGTACAACAGGCACAGTTCTTTAACTCTGCAATGTAAATTTTCCCCATGTCTTTTAAACAAGCACAATGATGCTGGTTTTTGCAGAATGCAAGTATGATTTCATCTACGTTTGGTAGTTGTAGATTTAGTAAATTGGCAATGGTTGTTATGCATAACAGATAAAAGAAATCTATGAAGTATTTTTCAATCAATTCTCTCATGTGTTTGCTGAATGTGGCTTATGAATAGAGCAATTCATGCTAAGCTGTTAGTTTCACTTGATTTATATAAATGAGGTTTTATAACTCCACTAGTATAACAATGAAAAATAATAATTGCGTGCTATCAAGTTGGAGGATTCCATAATACAAAAAATTGAATAAATAAAGCATGTTTTAAAAATTTTTTATCTTTATGAACAATAAATTTTGTAAAAATATACATTTAATTTAAAGTAAAAAAAACGGTGTGAAAGTTCTGCCACTTTTTGAAAGTTTATGTTAGTTATTTAGTACTCTTAGTTAGAAATGTATTAAAAACAAATGCACAGTTTTTTCGTCCTCCGCGAGTTTAAAACATTTAACTGCATAATTTGTTAAAAGCGAATCATTTAGTTCTGGTTTTAATAGTTCTGTTTAGTTTAGTTCTAATGGAAAACTCGATAATATACAATTGAAGTTATTTCTTCCTTATGAGAAAAAAAACAAACACTTTAAAGCTAAAAAATTTTTTTCCTTGCACTTATCAATGCAATCAACACTTACTGCTAAAGATGTAAAGCATCAAACAAAATACATATTTAAAAATAAGCCTCTATTTTAAAACTAAACTAGAAATCTTTCAGAATGTTTTTCTCCCACAAGATACTGAGCATAGATTTGTTATGAACTATTGCAATAAAAATTAAGTTATTAAGAATAATTTGAAAAAACTATAAGGAATTAAATAGACACTTTTAATGTTTGTTCCATAGATTGAAGTAAAAGCAGATGTTATGGCAAAGTTAATTATTAAAAATGTGCATCTTTTTCAAATAAAATCTGCATATCTTATTTTCTTATACTCAGTCCAAATTAGGTCACTACAATATTATTAAATAATTATTATAATAATCATAAGCTTTGTTAATGTATTAAAGTTAAAGGAAATGTTGATTGTATAAACTTAGGAATTAAAAACTATACACTATTTGTAAAAAGGTCATCCTTTACTATGAAGCGACTTCAAAACCACAGAGCAGTTAGCCAAAAACATCACAAGTTTATATTTAATAAGAGCTCTAGCAGTGACATAGATAACTTATAAAACCTTTTGACATTAGTTATTTTAAATATATTCTATAACACTGAAGCTACCTTTTTTCTCTCAAATTTGTTGAAAGCTTACTTATTCTGTTAGAATTCTCTGCCACACCATAGTCTGATGCACTACATGTCCAAATAGAAGTTTCCCAACGAAATTTATGCTAAGTTGTCAAAAAATTTTATTTCAGCTTTCTTAGATAAAATGGTGCATTGTCTAAATCATGCTTTCTTTAGCACATTTTTAGATGCTTTGACAAAGTCAACTTAGAAATGAAAATATTTTCTTAACAGCTTTTTGTTCATACTAGCATAATATTTATTACTTCATTTTCATTATAAAATATTCTGCACTTGGCTGATTTGCAAGATTTTCCAGATATAAAATATTTTGCCCTTATTTGTCACCGTTTTTAGCTTTTTGTCTTGGTATTCCTTATCCCTCTCTAGAACATCACATTTTCTATGAATATAAATGCTGACTAAATCTATTTAAAACGAAAGATTTGAATTTTCAATCTGAAATTTTTTTTTTATTTGAATCAATAATATTAAGGACTGCAAAATTTGATGAAAGTTATGTATATGGTTTTGGCATTTAGCCTTACATGCAGGATTCTTTGTTTCAAACTTTTCTGTAAAAAAAATTTAATTTTACATTAAAATTTTTATGGTTATGAAATCAGGATCGTACGCTTATTTAGTATTTTCAGCAGATACAGCAATAAATCTTGGATTTAAAGTCTTTGGGTTTGGGTGAACTCTAACTTTAAAAAGTGAGCCAGAATTTATCTCTGCTATATGTACAGACCTTTTATTTATTAATCAGCAGTATTCTCTGCTTTTATTATTCTGTAGAATTAAAAGAAAATAATTCGCTTAAATGGGTTTATGACAAAACTAAAAATTATATGATTAAAATAACATTTGAAGGTAAACTTATGGATCAATTCTATCTTACTTTTAAACACGGTATATTAAGCATCCATTAAGTTATTTGATGATTTTAATAAAAAGTTCAACAAATTTGGTTAGAATTAAACAGGGATTTTTAATGCATAACTAACAAGAGAGAAACTCATACCTCTACTTTTCTATAGGCCGACTTCACAAGGACCTGGTGGAACATCTAATGATCCCAATAATCCTGTAACTTGCCAACCATCTGCTGTGCGTGGATAAATTATCACCTTCAATGGAATTCAATGTTCCAAGCTCTGTATATATGTATATATAATTTTAATAGGCATGGGATAAAGAGAAATGTGCAAAGTTATGTTTAAATCAAAGTTTAAGTCAGTGTTCTCCTAGAGGAATAGTTTTTAATTTAATTCAAGACTGTCATGTGGCCATATAAAGAATATCTACACTATTAAATCTCGCATATCTTTTTGATTGTAATCACCCTGGCGAATTAATTTTTTTTTCAATCAACCTTTTAAATTATAGCTATCCCCCACCCCCAAATAAATATTTTAAGTGATTGTTTCCTTTTTTCGTCAGCAAAATGTTTAGACTAAATTCGAAATAAATTTTTAAAGCCGAAGTTCTAACTGCATGTTTGTTAATCATTTGAAAAAATATAAATTGTTAGTTAGTCATTAGATTTTATGCTGGTTAGTAAGTTGCTGCTTCACTTTATACTGTAGTCATTATTACTCGGTTTCATTTTGTCTTCATTAATTTCAATTCATTCTCTTTATGCTTAATAAGAACACAACCTTGTCAGTCTATTATAGCTCTTTCTTTTATTGCTCCACCTAAGCCATCTTAAAAGACTTTTTTTAAATAGGTTATTAGCTACCTAATAAGATTTTATGCTGGTTAGTAAGTTGTCACTTCACTTTATGTTGTAGTCATTATAACTAAGTTTCATTTTGTCTTCATTAATTTCACTTCATTTTCTTTATGCTTAATAAGAACACAAACTTGTCGTCTATTGTAGCTTAGCTCTTTCTTTTATTGCTCCACCTAAGCCATCTTAAAAGACTTTTAAATAGGTTATTAGCTACCTAATAAAATTTTATATTGGTTCGTAAGTTGTTACATCACTTTATTTTTCAGTCATTATAACTAAGTTTCATTTTGACTTCATTCTCTTTATGCTTAATAAGAACACAAACATGTCAGTCTATTACAGCTTTTTCTTTCATTGCTCCACCTAAGCCACTTTTAAAGACTTTTATTTAAATAGGTTATTAGCTACCAAGTAGATTTTAAACAACCTCAATTTCAGCTACCATTGAGTGTGCTTGTCAAAGTGGAATCTGATGTTGAGTGGCAATACAACTTAAGACACAAATAAATCACTTAATTTTGGAAAGGAAATTGTGGTTGTAGCTTTATGTTTGTAGAATTGAATTGAATATAGAGTTTAACACAAGGTCCAAAAAGGACATAATGCAGCACCAAACAAACGGTTTTTAAAATCATTTGATTGCAGATGTATCATGCAAAATTTTGACAGTCTTAATTGGTTTGTAGGCTACAATCTACTATGCACCTTATTTGGTCACTTGCAATTCCAAAGAGAAAGCGTTGGTTAATACTCAGTGACAACATAGATTCTAAAATATTGTTTTTGTGTACAACGAGTGGCATATTTAATAAAAATTGCTAACATAAAATATTTATTGACGCTTTTTTTTAAATCATTGTTTTATTTTATGAAAGTTATATGGACAGCAATAAAAAGATGATCCGCTAGGGTTTAAATTAATACAGAGGGCTGATTAATTTATAATTACAAAATAAATACTAAACATACAGTATAAACTGTATATTTCATAACTTAATATGTAAGTGGACAAAGTACTGTTAGATTTGGTATAGTAAATTCATTCGGTCTAACTGCTTAATATACACACAAGTAAATTTTTTTCTATCATACTTAAAACACTAATTGGATTCAATTGTTAATTCAAATAAGGTTAAAATAATTAATAAAATTTTTTATTAGTCACTAGTTTAATAACAAACTTTGAACTACATCATGACACACATGAAGTGCCCCCTCCCCCTCTGGGAAAACACTGCTTTTGTTTTATTCTTGGTGAATTGCTCATTTTATTGTGATATTGCTGCTTTTATATGACTCAAAGGTGTAAAACTTAAACCTAAAAATATAATTGTGCTTGTTTTTAAAATTAAAATGAATGTGCAATAATTTAAAATAAAATGTTAGTATTGCATTTGTGTTATTTTTGCAATTAACTTTTAATAATTTTTACAATTCATTTACCACCCATAAAAAGTGAAAATAATGAACACCATAAAACCTTATGCAGAAAAAGAAATTCATATAAAGCTTGGAGAATTTTTATGTCTGGGATTGGAGCTTTTCTCCTTAAAACTGAGTGCATACTATAATAAGGATGGTAAGCCTTACTAATTCATACTTTAACTTTGAATACAAGTACAAATTTTCATTTTTTAAACACTTTTTAATAATGGCAAAACTAAAATATACATAGATTTTAAAAAAATAGCAAAATTCCTACTATGAAAAGAAGCATCTTAACATTAAAAAAATGATTCAATTACAATTAATTGCAAAAGAGCTAATGAACAATGGAGTAAAAATTTTCTATATTAGGTTATTCACCCATTAAACTGCCGAGTAACATGTAAAACATTTTAAAAAGATATTCTATTACTTTTGGAACTAGCTACCAAATTAAATTTAAGTTTGTATGACTTATCACTAATATAACATGTTGATTTTTATAGTTTGGGTTTAACAAAATAATGTTAGACTTTTTATTTGAGGTATAAGGACTTATTATAGATTATTAGATGTTATCGATACTTTTGATTGAAAGAATTGACTCACTTTATCGAAAAAAAAAGACTTAAAAATCTTGTACCAAAATTTAAGGAGTGTGGATAACCTCTGAGGTAATATGAATTCATATAGCTTACAGTAAAATAATAATGATAGTATTCTGCTATTATTTAATTATTAGTTGTAATACTCTCAGAAGTATATTGAGAAAAAGTAAAATTTGAGATGATACAAATTTAAAAGACTCAATAGATTTATAAAACCGGATATAAAAGTTGTGCAACGTAAAATAGAAGGTGCTGCTTTAGATACCATATTTTCTAGAACATAAGATATTTTATTAATCTTTTAGTGTTTACACATTAGGACATCAAACTGTATTCTATCTAGGGGCGACATTAAGTAATAGAATATTTTAACTATTTTGTCTCATCAAATATCTTGGTACATTTGAATTAAAATTCAGTATTCAGTCGGAGATAAAAAAAAGGAACAATTTTAATTGTTCTAAAGAACAACTTGAATATTGGATTTTAAAACAAGAATGAAAACTATGTTTCAAATTGATAAGAAAAAAAAATGTTTCAAATTGATAAGATTGGATTTTAAAACAAGAATAAAAACTATGTTTCAAATCGATAAGGAAAAAAAATGTTTCAAATTGATAAGATTGGATTTTAAAACAAGAATGAAAACTATGTTTCCAATTGATAAGAAAATTTTTTATAATCTAGACAAATTATAAAGTAATTAGCAAGTGAATGTTATGACAATATAGACAAGTGCCATTTTTAACAACAAAAAAAAATTAAAAGCAGCATTAGACCTTAACACATAATTACCTTGTCTTAGTGAGAAAAAATCTCATAAATGTTCATGGAATGAATAAAATATTTAAAAAATATTCTTGTTCCTGTTCTAAAACAAAAAGTAAGCCAAATTTTCAACATATGTAGTTTTATTAAATTAATATCCCGAGATTTAAATACAGTACAAGATCTTTATGACACAAAAATTGAAACTGATTTAAAATAATTTTAAATAAAAAGACTTTACACACCTGCTTCTTTAGAAATTCAAAAGACTTTTGAGACTTTTCGCAACTATGACATAGTGCAATATAAACATAACTATAAAAACTAATAATAAATTCTCATTCTAGAAATTAAATTTGTTTAAGAAATTCTTATACCCCTAAAAATTAGTGACTCAGACTGAGCATAATATAGCTATTTTTAAGAACTTTATATAAAATTGTTTCTGAAACTTTTTGTTTGATTTAGCAGCCAACAAATTCACCAAAGTTAGTTTTAACAAAGAAGAATAGAATTAAGTTTGGATTTTTGTAATGGGGTTTAATCTCACAGGTCGAATCGCTGCAAGGAACGGTTAATACCAAGAGCATTAACTGAGTCAGTAATTGTAGGAATTACTTTTCTAGCTACTAACTTTACATTGTTATGTATCAATCACATTAAAAGAACAAAAATATTCTGAAGCTAGCTATTTTAGCATGTACGAAGATATTATTCTTAAAGAAACCATCTGTATACACTTTGCTAAAAACGGTATTATACTTTTTTGTAGGTTTATCAAGCATTCAATTTTTTTTCTCTAAAAGGTAATTAACGATAAACTAAACACACGTGAACTGCAAAATTGCTTTTTTCGAGGAAAGATTTTTGGGGCTGTATGTTCGGGTTCTCCAACTCATACAGTTATTTTAAAAAAAGCGTAAGAAAATACTTAGTTGGCCTGAGGTTCAAAAATTTGAGAGCTGGAAGTCTGTCTTTATAACACAAAAATATGCACTTCAAAAAGAAATCTTAATCATAAAGAATATTGGAAATCAACAAGTTTATCAATTTTTCTTTGCTTAAGAGATTGTAAAGTAAGTGCAGTATATGAAGAATTACGGTTTATTGAATTGCGTTATATAGAACTTGTACTGTAAAATACTAAAAGAAAAATCCTGTAGGATTAACTATCTTAAATTTTAAATTACACACAGTATATACAATTCTTGTTAACAAAGAAAACTCGAGTGAATTTAAAGTCAGAAAACTTATTCATCAATTTTCTTGTCATTTTTATCATCATCTTTTAGTGTCTTTGTAACACTAGTAGTTGATGGAGTGGGACTAGGACTCGAAGAATTGCTTGTTGATGTTGGAACTTCTTTTTGTGGGCTGTTCCTTTGAGTACTGAACCGTCTCATACCAGGTCTGTAAATTTCTAAAGATGGGCGATCCTGAAGAATATGAAAATTAACAAGACATAAGTCTAGGAGAATTTATATTTTTTTTCAATTTAAGTTTAAAAATAACCAGAATGCAAGTATTTTTTAAATGTAAACTGAAATCAAACAGTTTTAACAATATAAAGATTAATGTACTTTTTCTTTTCTTTGATTTTAAATATTTCTCTACATATGTAATTACATTAAGCATGTATAGTGTAAAATAATTATAAAAGAGCTAGAATTGACACCACCAAACTTAAATGATATCAGGAAATGAAATTAAAACTAAGTAGTGTAACAAATTAAATTTCTTACTATAATAAAAGAATAAAAAATAAACCTGATTATTTTAAAGAATGTTTAGTTTTAGCAGCATTTTTAAATTTGTATTAAAGTAAACGAAATCTTAAAATTTCGTTTATATTTATTGGGAATGTGTAGCATTTATAAATGAAAAGGAGATAATATATTAATATGCTTAGTAATAATTATTTAAAGTGTTAGGAAAAAGTATAAAAAATAAAGCTATTTTTTTAGTATCTAAAAGTATAACGAAAGAGGGTAATATAAAAAAATTAATTTTCCAAAGATCGAAATGGAGGAAAGAGCATCATGAGTTGCGCATGTGCACATACTAATGGAAGTGAAAGCTCGTTCTGAGTAAAGAAAGTTACAACACACTGTCGCTGAAGCGTCACTGCCGAAAGTTGGATATTAGAGGAAAATTTTAATTTTGTCAGATAAGAGTCAATTTTTAAGTGAATTGAAAGAAGAATTACATGTATAAAAAATACTGTGCTCTAGTGACATAGCAAGGCGTTTCTCACACTGTTGGTGGAGAGCTCGGGAAGTTCGATCCTAGAAGTGGACAAAACAGTCGGCTTGTAATGTTTAGGCACTGCAAGGTGCACGTTAAATCTGTCTCAGTTGAAAGTTCTCTAGTTGTGGTATGAAAGTTAGGAGATAAGGATCAAGCGCTGTTCATGTCATCTGACCAGGGTCAAAATTACGCAGCATTCCTAACTTGGTCATCCTAAAAATGGGGCTAGATGCTTTGCCATGGTGAGGTGAGGTGATGTGTGTATACAAAATAAAAACAAAGGGAAGATGTATTCAGGAACAAAACAAGAAAAAGCCAACAAAAAGGTTTATATAGTATTAAAAGCTTAGAAGTCACAATTACCTTATTTCTTATTCGTCTTTCTGCCCTCGGATCTTTCCCTTGTTCTCGAAAATCTAACTGTTTAGATGTTTCATTTCGATCGACATCTTCCCGTGAAACACTTTTTGTAGAATCTCCTAGTTGAGATGAAAGGTCATCATTATCTTTTTGGCTACCAAATGTTTCCACATTACCAGGGCAACTATTATCTCTCTTGTCTTTAGGCCACTGACTGTGTGATGCAACTGGCGATGTGTCCTTTTTGCTATCAACTTTTTTCTCTTTGGTGGACTCTAATAACTCTTCTTCAGGTTGTTCCAAACATTTAACACCTTCTTCTTTAGACTTTTTTGAAGCCGTTTCATGATCACTCTGTTTTCTTCCACTGTATAATCTAAGAACAAATATTAAGTTTCCACAAATATTAAGTTTCCTCAATATCTAAAACTCATTCACAAATTAAAATATGCTATTGATAAATACTAGTCAGGTTTTTCAGAACTATCATCTATACAATTTTTTTCTTTTTTAGAATGTTTGAAGTAAAAGATTATTTTGTTTAGAAGAGCTTATTTTTTACTTATTTCATATTTATAGAACTGTAAAATGTCTGAAAACATGTGACACATGTTTCATACATGATAGGTTAAAAATTAAAATCTGCTCATCAAATTAATATGATGCAATCACACACTCAACCCCACGCCTTGCCTTCCCTTTTTTTAGATACAAATATTTTCTAATTCTACAAGTAGTATTGCACAAATATGTTTTCATATTTATCATATTTTTGGTATAATAAATTAGTTTTTACCATAATATAAAATTCTTTCTGATAGTAAAAACTTACACTTGATGACCTAACTGTTCCTAATGAATTAGATAAAGATTTCAGGTAGTTTACATATTTTGTAAAAACTTATTATTAATCAAAAAATATATGTGTATAATCATATGGCTGTGAAAATCTATTTTTGTTTGGAAAATATGCATCATTAAAACTAGGGATGGATGTATTTCCTCCAATGTTCATAATAGAAAATTTTAAATGATTTAGGAATTTTATTTATTACTCAGCAAAAAGCGATGAAAAAATTTATATATTTATCACATGATATTCTTAATATGACAATTCTTTGTACAACTTGGAATTTACAAATCACACTAGTAACTAGTAAGATTCTTTTCGTCCTGAACGCAACATTATGATTCGTTACAAGATTTATTTAACTCATATTTGAGTAATCGATTTTACAATACAACCAAAATCGACATTTTACAGTCAATCCTAAAACTACAACTAATACAAGCAATTTCGTTAATTCATACCTAATTTACTGGATCATCGAGATTTTGAAGATCATGTTCAAAAAGTATTTTTCTTCCAAAATGTTATGGAAAAGGTGCAAAATCTACTGATTTTTTTAAAATCAGTAAAATTTTTCTACATATTGAAATCAGAGTTGGCATGATCATTTCATTTTTTAACAAAAAAAAAATCATTCATTTAAACCAACTGTGATTTTTAAAATTATTAATTTAAACAAACTGTTTTTTATTAAATCTATCAGTCTAAGTCTAAAATATATTTTATACAAAAAAATTGATAAATACATTATTTAGGGTTTGATTTTTTTTCATCGACAATGATTTTTTTATTATCTTTTTTTTACTAATCAATAGTAAGAGAGAGCTGTATGTAAATTATTATATTTCAATATAGACCAATAAAAGGTTTAAAGTGGAACTTTCAGACTTTTTATGAAACTTTTAAATATAATTTTTCATTAATATGAAACTTTTATAATTTTTCATTAATATAAAATTTGACTATAATTTTTCATTAATGGTTTGAAAATAATTTGCTGGCAATAAACGTATTTTAGTTTGACTTATTTAGTTTCATGTTTAGTTAAATACAAGAGCTTTCAAAACTGAACAAATATGTAGTTAGTGCATATCAATAATTAAGAAAGATTTGTTCAACCCAAAAAAGTAAAATAATTTTTTAAGTAAAATTTAATTTAAGTAATTTAAAATAATCTTTTATTTCAGTAATGTTTTCTAAGTTTAACTCTTCATTGGATACATAATTGACAAATTAGTCCCAATCTTTAATATTGATTAGCAATTTAAGCTTAGCAATTAAGTATTGTTATAAGCAATTTAAGCTAATAACTATGATTTTATTTATTCACTGGTTTGTTTGTATTCATTATATTATCTATTTCAGTACATAATATTAACTATTTGAGCCACAATCCTGCTCTTAAATAATATTATGTATTGTTAATAAATTTTATCAGGTTTTATTTAGTACAGAAAAAAAAAATGCAAAATCTGGTTTTTGCCGATGATTGAAATACTGTTTGAGACAGAAACATTTTAATACATTAGGGTGCCGCATAACTAAATTTTTTTTTATCTCAATAATATTTGCTTTAGTAATTGTAAACCTTTGTGACATTTGAGATAGGTTCTAGTCGTGAAAAATATGCAAACAATACAATGCAAATTTGCTACCCTGGCATTATTTTTTCTAGGTTTGCCAAAAGGACAAAGAATAAAACAAAAATTGCATAATGTTTTGCACTTTAGTTCTGGAACTTCTTAATCTTTGTTGTAATTTAAAACAAAGAAAGAAAAGTCTAATAAGAAAGAAATGAAAAAAAAAATTAACATTTTTAAGTTGTACATGAATATAAATTATTAGCATATTCAAAAAGGTAAGTATATATACTGAAACAAAAATGGCAAGTTACTTATAATCTGTTTTGTCTCTACGACTTCGTTCTCGTTCATTATAATATCCTTTGACAGGTACTTTTTGCTTATCTTTCAGGCGAGTTCGATCTCGATCCCACTCTTTTTTCCCTCTGTCTCTATCTCTATTGGATTTCCAAGGAGGGAAATATTCTTTTCCTTTGAGAGGTGTTGTAACTTCTTTAGTTTCTTTTTCTCTTTCAGGGTTCTTCAAAACCTAGAAAATTAAGTTAAGGAAGGTTAAGAAAAGCCTGAAATTAAGAGTCAGTTTTAAAATAAAAAGAGCATTCGAAACTCACAACAAATATTCCCATGCATAAAACATTTTCTTTTAAAAATGTGTATAATAAAAAAAAAAAACAGCGAACTGCAAAAGTATTTTAAAATAATTTTTAAGTGGTGAACAAAAGTTTTTTCTACTGATTTGGAAATATTTAGAGTGATTAATTCATCGAAACTAAAAAATTGTAGTATTATGCAGACATGCATAATTTACACGAGCGCTATTTGTGAAAAATTTGTCACCAAGGCATAAAAAAATATTATACTACTCATTATATTGTTTAAAAAAAAAGAACAGGGTCAGAACTTTAATATTCTACTTTGCCGTCAATTTTAGAAAATTAGGATACAACAATAGGGTTACTTGTCAAATTGAAGAACAAAATTCCTCGTCGTTTCCAGATGTATTAAAAAAATTCCAGTTTAGTATCATAGCATATACAGACTAAGCGAAGGTCAAAATATACCGTGAACCACAAAAAGTATTTATAATTTACACATTATGAATTGTGTCAAAAAGGGACAAATCTAATTCAAATGTTGTAAAAACATTGCATTATATTCAAAATATCATAATCGAAAAGCCATGTGAAAAACGCCTAAAAATGATAACTGCCAAAAAAAACTATCACTGAACACCATGACATTATCACTTTTATCGTTAAAGACAAGATATCTCGCCCTCTTTTCTTTTAATTTTAACTCAGCACAGATGGTAGAAAAGGCGAGATAAAAGAGCTAGGAAATGTCAACTTGAAATCGAAATTTGCACGTTATAAAAACATTGTAAATGAAATATCGGAAAACCATGAATCGGAGGAAAAATTGATAAGCTAGGAAAACTATTATGAAGCGAAATTGCAATGCAATAGCCACAAATCGAACGCATCAGAAAGTGATAACTAAAAATGGAATGATGAATTAACATCTTGTTAAAAATATCGGAATTTGAAAAATCAATAGCGATTTGCTGAAAAACGATTGTAAATCTATGGAAATTTACAACGGAATCGTCACAAATCAAGAGCGCCAGAAATTGATTACTCAAATTTGTATATTGTCGTAACATCATATTAGTATAATAATAAAATTTGTAAAAAAAATAAAAATAAACTAGGCTAAAAGAAACCTACAGAAAATAACATGGATTTGTTCGAAAAAGCACATGAAAAGTGCCAGAGAAAAATAATGAGTCAAAAAGTGATAACTCAAATATCAAACTCAAACGTCATAATATTATATTAAAAATATCAAAATTAGAAAACAGGGTTCCCACTCAATGATGAGATTGAAATTCAAGGACTTTCCAGGACTTTTCAAGGACCTCAACAAAATTTTCAAGGACCTTAATCTAAGACCAATTTTAAAAATTATTCTCTTCTATTTTACTAGAAGCAACAATGCTTGTTGTGGNTAAGTGGATTTACAAAAAAAAGTGAATGCTAAAAATTTATGTTCTTCATGAATGAAAAAATTTTCAAAAAAGAAAATTTTTTCACAAAAATGGGCCTTAAAAATAGATTCTGGAACGACAGCAGTATATTAGTATTGCATTAATATTTCCATGCGGAACAGCAATCCCATTGCTTCCAGCAAATTCTTAACAAATAACAAGTTTAATTAAGTGTAATTAAATATTGAAATCCTGACATGTTTAATAAAATTCATTTGACAAGCCTAGGTGAAAAAGGATTAAGCAAATAAACAATAAAAAAACATTAATTTATAAGAGATTATCAAACATTATTTATCCCAATAAATTTCTTAATCAAATATAAAAATAAAAAATTTGAAGTCCATCCATCCTTCTATCTGTTCTAGATTTTAGCAACCAATAACCCTTTTCCAGTTGAAAGTTTTCTAAGTCATAATACCATTGCATGCTACAAATGTAGAAATTTAGTTCCCAGCCAAATGTGTGAAAACGAAACTCTTATGCTAGAAAAGTGTTTCATGGAAAAAGCAGCCACAAAGATTGCATGCTTGGAACATCATGACTTTTGCAGATTAATCAATATAGTTTTTTTTAAAAATTTAACACTTTTAAAACAAATCAGTGATTTTCGAACAAATTTCATCTGAATTAGGAGGTAATGGAAAGAATTGAAACTAGTTACAAGAGTAAATAAATAGCTCGCAAAAAGCGGTTTGCAGAAAGTTTTTCATTTTATCTAAGTATTAAGTACTACTATGATTTTAATTTTTTTTTTATGCAGCAGACTAATTTAAATGAAAAAAGAATTTTTTTTTTGACAAATGCATGATTTAGTTTTAACAAATACTTGATGCATCCATTTTAACAAATATTTGAAGCAACATCCACAATCCATGTTCGTTTGATGTTTTACGTTTATATCCTTAGAGCACTGAAGTTAAAAAAATTAAAATTCACTTTTTTTAAGAAAAGTAAATACAATTGTATCTTTACAGATCACAGTAAATACAATTGTTGCCTTAGCTAGTTCCTAAAAAAATATTCAATTAATAGTATTAATACCTGAACAATTTGATCTGATTGGTTAACAGATTCTGATACAGGAGATTCTTCAAGCTCATCAGTAGCTTCTTTCTCTGATAAACTTTCTTTATCCTTGTATTTGTCCTTAACTCTTTCTTTATCTTTTTCAGCCTTTCTTCTTCGTCTTTCTTCCTCTCTGATTCTTTTTTTCTCTAATTCCCTGCGCTTCCTTTCTTCTCGTTTTTCTTCTCTAATTTTCTATAAATACAAAGAAAAGTATTTTCTCTTCTGTATCTTTCAAAAAAGATTTAAAAGGATTTTTAAAGTTATATATATTAATGAAATTTTTGTACATAAACATTAATTCATAATAAATTAAGCATCTAAAACAATTATTTTCTCCTATGCACTTATTCTCCTTAAATTATTGGTAATTACACAAATTAAATAAAGGGAGAATGTTACACTTACAAACTCTATTCTCAAATACTTTCTATACTTTATAAATAATAGATTTCTATATTTATAAATAAGAGGAACACAACAGTTATGAATTTATTGTTCTCAATAGTTTATCTAAGGTTTTCATAATAATATTTTTTTTCCTCCAATGGCCACCTGTGTTAACATTTTTTGTCAATTCAGGCATTTACAGGGCAGATTTGTTGGTCTCTTTTTCAGGGGCATCATATTAGGTGGGCCAACGTTGCTCCCACAGTAAGGAAAGGTAGTACAGAGAAGGAAAGAACATCCATGCCTTGCCCGGGACTCGAACCCAGAACCTTTCTGATGCAAGGGCAGTTCCCTAACCCCTACACAGGCTGGTCGGCTTTCATAATAATATATTGAGGAGTATTTAGATAGTTACGGATATATTCTGTGTTCCAATACAACTAAAATATCTAAATATCAAAATATTAACTTCGCGAAGTAAAAGGCAATAGCTAAAAAAAAATTTCTTCTAATTTTTACTTTATTTTTATTTATTAATTTTTAAATACATAATTGAAAGTTTACAAGGATATTTGTGCTCCCTTTTTACTCGTATTAGGAATTGAATAATTTAGAATGTTTGCACAAATGAAATTGTGCTTTAAGTTATAATTTTAAAAAACATTACAATCTGAATTTTGCAATTTTGATATTTTTTTGTCAGTTTCATTAAATAAAATTGTAAGTAAAAATAAGAATTCAGATACATAAAAAAATTTTTTTTTATAAGTATTATAGAAATTTGTAATTTTAGTTTTAATTAATCGTCGAAATTTCTTAATTTGAGATAAACTAAATAACCATAAGTGAAAAAAAGGATAAAGAATAAAACGTCTACTTGAGCAAAAAGTTAACAAAAATTTTAGGATGAAAAGTCTTTTAGGATGAAAAGCTTCATTGGTCATATGCATAAGATATGTTATTAAAAAAATGACAAAAAAAAAGACAATTTCTAAACTGTAAACAATTTAGATGAAGCATACAAATTAAATTTTGAAATGCAGAACAAACAATATCTATCATGTTTTTAAATTATTATAGAGTATATGGTGTAGTTAAGAAGGAAAATCTTGCTTGTTTTTCCAGTTTATAATTACTGTCCTTTTTTTTATAATTACTGTCCTTTTTTTTTATAATTACTGTCCCCGAACATAAAAACAAATTTTATAAATACAAACAAGAATTTCGGTTTAAAATTATTATCTGTTTGCTTAGAAAACGAGTTCCTTTTAAGCAAATATAAAAATGTATGTGATAAAAAGACGTTTTTGCAATAAAAAATAATAATTCGTCTTCATGCAAAAAGTAAGTTATTAAGGGATGAATTTTTCGAATTCCCCCAAAATTTTACAAAAAACATGGGATTGACCTATACACTGGTAATAAAATGATTACCCTTTTGTGGCTGAAATTAGTTTTGTAAACTCTTTGGAATAAATCATGTGAGCATGAATTGTGATATTTAATTTTGAAATTGTGTGAATATAAATCAATCATGATATGAAATTTTTAAGATGTGCGAATATGAATCACAATATGTAACATTTAAATCACGTAAATCGATGCTCGATATTAAAATCATGTGAATAATAACCGCATTGTTGAATTTTAAAAGCACGTCAATAGAAATCATGATATTAGATTTTTAGATCCTGTGAACACGAATCATGATTATTTTACCAGTTGAATATCAATCACGACTTATGATTTTCAAATCACTTGAATTTGAATCGCTATATGTGATTTTTGAAACATGGGCATTTGAATTGCAATATTTGATTTTTCTAAATCATGTGGACACTCTTGTCATTTTTAAAAAAGTATTCTTAAATTTTAAACTTTCTGGTGTAATATTTGTGCACAGCATGAGTAAGTGTATCCATATTATCTGATTCTGATTGAAAAAACACTAAAGAAGGTGTATGGTCCAATACCATAAGCAGCCATCACTGTGAAGACATATATAAAGGTGAACTATGGTTGTAACATGTTCCTTTGGAAAAAAGTAATCAATAAACAACAGTCTTCTTAAAATATAAATTCTTTAAATATATTCTCAGAAAGGATCAACAAATATAAACCTTCCTTTTATTAATCGTTAAATTTTAGCCATTTAAGAAACGATAAAAGTAATATATTATCGGAAAAATTTCAGCAAAAATAATATGTTGTCCAAATAGAGAACAAATGTGGACATACCACAATTTTGTTTCATAACCAAGAATTTTCCTCAATGTGGAAACATAACATGAGAGTCAAAAATAAAAGAAACAAATATGTTGCAATCAGAAAAAAAAGTGATTTAACCAATAGGGGAAAAGGAACAAGCTTACACAAGATAAAAGTACAGTGATAAGAAACAGGACTAATGAGGTTGAATGAGGATCTTAAGGCACAAGAATGTGGAAATGAAATTAGAATAGGTTTCCAGATGTTAGGAAAGAGTGGGAAGATAGAAAGATCATTCTCTTAATTAACAAAAATTTTCAAAATACAGAATGATTCCCAGAAGTCAAAACCAGTAGATAAATAGCAGTATTGAATGGTTTTAGCAGAAGAAAATTCAAAGCTATAAATAGTATTTTCTAACTATATAGGGGGTGGGAGGATCATTTAATGTCGATTATGAGCATTAAAGTTCATATGTATTACATAATGAATAAATAAATAAATTACAAGTGTACAAAATAAGGTATTTAGAACTAAAAAGATTTTTTTTTCTTACAAAACTGATAATAGATCAAAGCTTTAAGAAAATAAGATTTTATGAAATGTCTTTTTTTAAATTATAAACCAGAGTCAATATTAAACTACATTCATAGTCAATATTAAATAACTACATTCAACAGCACTTACACTTATGAGATTTAATGCATCAAATACGCCAAAAATCGTAGAGGGGATGCGGAAAATAGGTCATGACTCGTACATGTAAAAAGTCTCCCAGTACTGTGACTTAAGCATCCATAATTTTTAAATTCAAGCAAAATCATTAAATGTAGTAACTTAACTGTACAGTTAAGTTCAATGAATACATGTAAGAAAGAGTTATTTTAAAAAGCTGTTATTAAAAAATATGCATAGTACTTTATATTAATCATTCCTATTTATATAGTAGTCATTCCTACTTCTATATTAGTGATCTACATTTTCAATGTAATAAACAAAAACCTATAAGTAAAATACAATAATTACAGACAAAATATTATTTTCGAAAAAATAAGATTGATTTGTCTTCACAGTTAAAAAAAATTGCTTTAATTTAACCAAAGTTACATTAAGAACTATTCATGTGAAAACTTTACCTGCTGTTCAATCTTCCTTGCCTTTAGGTATTCTATCAATGGTGTTGTCAATTTAGGGACTCCATTGTTTGCTGCAATCAAAAATAAACTTTCAAGCAAATAAAGTTTAAAACATAAACGCTTAAACTCATAAGAAAAGACGCACTTAATCTAATAAATAACTAGAAATGTTTTTATGTTAATTTTTTCATTGCTCTTTCCAAGAAAAAAATTTCGTTAATGATGAAAATGAAACTTTTTTTTGTTTAAAAAAAGCATAATAAATATTTTTAACTGTATAAAAAAGGAAAATCGCATTAAAAAAAATGAGGGGAAAATAGCAAAAATATACCTTTTAATTCTTTCTCTCTACTTTCAATTTCTTCTAAATAAACTTCAGCTGAGGGAAGAGAAACATCATCAGGATTTTTCATGCTCTCCAGAAACTTCAAATAATCAGGATCTGAATTAAAATCAAAAAAATTTTTTTTTAAATGTGCTTACTAAATATAATGTGAACTCAAATATAAAACCTGTAATATATCCGTAAAACGCAATATGAGCTCAACTACTAATCTAATCTTGCACCAATAAAAATTAATTAAAAAGATCAATGAACACACATCTAAAAGTTACAATACAGTGATACTACTATAGTAACATAAAATAATTTCATCAAGCTATTGAATAAGAAATTCATAGAAGTTTGTTATGTACATTGTAGTGTCACAACTAACAGAAAATATGATGTGAGTTCTATTATTTATTTAAAAACTTAATACATGAATCCACAAATTTTTAAATAAGGAACAAAAACCGAACTATCTCTTTTTAAAAAGAAAATTAGAAAAGAAAAGAAACATCGTAGATCTTGCCTAACTCTATCAAGATATCTAATTAAAGCTCGAGGTATTTTTTAAGAAAACCTGCTCTGAGCTCTGTTTTGTTAAAATATGTTAAGTTACAATATAGTTTACAAAATATTACTTAGATTTATTCTAATTTTAAGTATTAATATCATTTCAAACTATTAAAAAAAAAAAATAAGAAGAATATTTTAATTTTTTCTTCTCAAAAATATTCAATAAAGACAGAAGAAATCTTTTTAAGGTTAAGAATTATTAAAGACACAGCATAACTAATATATGGTTTTATCATTGAAAATGTTTTAACACATTCAATCCTAAGTAGTTTAAATAGGTACTAATTAGGGTATTTAGATGACCAGTTTAATACCAATTATGGTCCGACTTCTGCTTTAAATTATTCAATGATAATTGTAATTAAAATTAGTATTAAATATTCAAAGTTAAATAAAAAAAATATTTATTAAAAAATAATGTTTAACAGACTGAGGAGCCCCATAAATGAACCTAAAGAATCTTGTATTGCTATCGGGGTGTGCGGGCACCAATACAAAACCAGTTTTAATAAAAGGAACAATTTAATTAGATTTAATTTAGTTAAAAATGATGATTCACTTAAATTCATAAAAAATAATAAATATAATATTCGATGAATAATGTTTTAAAACAAAAAACATCTAAAGAAAACTACATTGTCATTTACCATTGGCTATAGTTCCACATTTTGCATCCCTTTTCTTGCTACGCTTCTTTGGTATTTTCTGAAAGGGTGCAAATTCAACAATTGCAGGGTACTCATTTCCTAAAGCAAAACAGTAAACAATTATATTAGTATACAGTTATAAACAATGAATGGCAATAAATTTTAAAAAATTAAAAGTAACCAGGGAATTGGGGAGGTCATGGCAGATTGCTGTGAACATATTTTCATTATTTGGCATTACATAATTAAGTAATTAATAAATAATATATTTCCATCATTCAGCATTATTTAACGCTAATAAAATATTTTCATCAACGGGCAAATTTTAAACAATCTTTCCACTATCCGGTATTGCTAGTCGATTCAGCATATTTATGAAAAATCATTTTCTGTTATTTCATTTAGAAAATGCAAATGAAATTATGAACAAAGCATCTTCCATTGTATATATTTCTTACTTATTTGGAGTAATTGAATCGGAAATCTCCAAGGATTTTGGGGGCAATAAATAGCAGAGGGTGTAGCCTCTAATGTGATTAAAATAAAATATAAAAAAAATATCAAGAATAAAAAATTGGAGTATTAAATAAAACTTAGAGGCTCTTGCAAAATCACTTTCATGCTATAGTTGAAAAAAGGAAAAAATGGAAAGGGAAATAAATTGAGAAGAAATTAATTCAAACTGCAAATTATCAACAGTAATTTTAAAATAATCATTTCTATTTTATCTCTTTATATGCTGATTTCCTTTCATTAACTGAATTATTAGTAATTATTTTGTATATTAACTGGAAAAATTATGCCTAAAGTCACGTTTACATTCATATCTACTTTATTATAGTTCCCTTTTTAAATTCAACAAATAAATATATTTTAATCAATTTTTAACTGCTGAAACTATATTTTTATTTCAAAGCACGATTTTCAGATTACCTGGTTTATTTCTATCTGGTATCTGACGAGATTCGCATAGTACAAAATTATTTGTTATTTAGTTAAAAATTATGTTTTCACCTTACCTGCAAATACTAATTTCTTTTTCTTCTACATTTATTTAGTAAATGGTTCGTTTTTTTTTTTATTTATTGACTAGATCAAAAGTAAAGCATTCCCACAACAGCTCTTTACGTTATGGGTTCATGGAGGTTCCATAATGTGACAATTGCTGATTGCGGCAATATGGTCAGCATAATGCACAGGCAGCCTGCACTTCCCAGACAAACTTTTACCCATTGATCTGAAGCTGGGTGATGCACGACTTGGGATCGAGTCCCAGTTTCCAACAACAGTTGAATACCTTACCTCATTGACTAATAGCAGTTCATTGACTAGAATAATTAAATATAAAGTCGTAAATTCAGTAATATTTGGTGAAAAAAATTATAATATTGTGAAAATGTTAATAACAACATTTTTTTAAGCTAATAAATTACATTATTTAATAATGAATTGGTCAAATTCAAAATTTCACTTGACAAAATGGGAATTCCACCCTTCTCAAAAATACAAGTTCACAGTGCCCTTGAGTAGTAAAAAAGTATACATAAAAAATCAATAACAAAAATTATTAAAAATAACATGTTTTAAAGATGAAATAATTTAAAAATAAAATTACCTTTATTATCTAAGAAGACATAACCATCAAATTGATCTTTAAATAAAAATATGTCTTCTGGGATAACAAAATTTATATAAGCTCGAGAAAATGCATGGGATCCCAACCTAAAATAATTAATATCAGTATTACAATACAGTTACTGAAAGAAAGAATTTTCTTACTTAAATTGTCTTTCTAGAAATTAAATTCAAAATTCAACAAGAAAAAAATCTCTAATACTTCTTTTAGTTTGATTAACTAATTAAATATAGTATGTATTGTTGATAGAAATTGAAGAATTTGTTAAATAAAATAGTAAGAATTTATCAAATGAAAAAATCAAAGTTTCCTGCTCCTAAAACAGGATGAGCATTAGCTCAATATTTCCTCATATATAGGATCATACCAGAATTTTCTGCGTCTCTCTGCAGTACAAAATATAATCAAGTAGGCACTAGTACTGCAACAATTAGGTTTCCCAAAACTTAAAGCAAAATTTAAATTTGAAAATAGTGGATAATAATTTAAATTTCAGTTGAAATTAATTAATATTGCTTAAAAGAAAGATGGAACAAAACCACATTTAAAGCATCTAAATAAATAAAGAGAAAAAAAACTGACAAATTTTAAGATTAAATGTAAAACTTTTTCAGACAATTACTATCAAAGTTTGGCTTACTGAAACAACATAGTATAAATACAACTGGTAAACATAGGATAAATAAAAAAATCTTCACAAAAATCCTTTTTCTTCCTTCTTTTTTTTAAATAATTTTTTGTTCATTACAAAATAAATAGTTAAATTTTTCTTCTTCATTTTTTTAAATGTGTTTTTTCTCATTATGAATATATTAGCAAACAAAATTGTACCAGTGTCCATAACACAATCATTTTCTGAAACTGTAATAAAATTCAAGGTGCGTAATTTTACAACAAAAAATAAGCACCTTTTAAGCACTTTTCAAGCATTCATAAATATTTTTAAGCACATAAAAAAAGTATCCTAATTAGGCTAGGTTGGCAAGTTTTTGACAATTGACAGTTTTAACTGTCATATCATGATAAAATAACTAGTTTCTGACAAAGAACTCTTTTCTTAATTACATTAGCCACCATAAATTTATACACAATTTTTAAGACATTCAATATTAAGTGCCTCAATATATTTTTTAATTAATAATTACTTCATTTAATCATGTAAAAAAAATTTAATTCAAAATTATTAACGATTATTGAAAAAGTTTATCGAGTGTATTTTTTTAGATTTAAATAAAAGTTATTTATAAAAGTATATTCAACAAAACATTATGAGATTAATATTATTGATCACACCGGATTTATAAAGATATGTAAAGAATTAAGCAAAAAAAAAAAAAAAAAAACTTTAAAAAAATTCATATTACAAATTAGTGAATGGTCCCGAAAAATGTTTATCATTATTTGTGACTTGGTTCTGTATTTAAATTTCTTGATGAATAGAATGCTGAAAGAAATTTAAACAATTATGAAAAGTAAATACAATGAGTATTGAAGCCTAACATTTTTACCTTACAATCTTAATATTTAACAAATCTGAGATAATTGAATTTTTTATTTCAATTGTTTTTAAATAAAATCATTAAGAGATGAATTAAAGTTTTTTGGAATGACAAGTCTGAACTTTTTTTTACACAACTAAATATAAGATTTTTTTGCTGCATTTAAAATGTTAAAAGCCTCTTACTTCAAACTTTTTTAAAATCCTAGTTCTAAATATTATTGAGTTAGCTCATAAAACAACTTAAGAATACTGAAAATTTAAAAAGTAATAATATAACAATTAATAAAAAGTAATAAGCAAAAAAGAAAAAAAGAAAAAAAAAAAAGAATAAAGTACAAAAAAGTTTACAAAAATTTTATGCAATTGGTAGACGGTCCCTTAAGTAAAAATATAATGCTTATTACTCTCAATTAATTCTTAAATTTAATGAACAATAGGGAGATGGAAATTTCGAGGTGATTAAATTTGAGCATTCCTTGAACTGCTCTGAGGACCCACATGAAAATATGTAATTAGTGAATGATCCCGAAGTCAAGTTCAAAGATTATGGTGCTGATCTATCAATAGAATATCTCGAGTAGACCATTAGCTTCCCAGTGACAAAGACAATGTCATGTCAATAACACTAACGATGAAATTAACAAGAGAAATAAAATTTTTTATTGCTATTAGAGAAAAAAATTAACAATAGTCACTGTAATCAGCGGAAATTTGAGAGATTTTTCGGTTCAATTTCAAAAGGCGGAAAATGAAAACTGAAATTGAGAATCTCTAGCGAAATGCAGCAGAGTTGCACATGAGAGAACAAAAATCCTTCCCACTGAATCCAGCTCAGTATATGTGCATGCGGACCCGTAAGTATTTCATCAAACATGAAAAATTATTAGCGTTTTCATACTCTGCGAGCTGACAGTGCATGTGGAAATAGATTGGGGTTGAATTAGTGAAAATGTTGAATAGATCCATATCATTTTGCATAATTCGTGGCGAAAATCAACATAGTATAGAAAAAATATTTCATTTTGGAAAAGGGAAAATTGAGCACTTTTTAAAAACACCCAATGAAAAAATCATCTTTAAGGGTTTTTAAAAAAAGAAAATAAGCACACTTTTTAATAATGCTACGCACCTTGCAGATGCACTGCATGTAGGTTAAACCTTACTGCTGAATAATTTTGGGTGTCAGATTTCAAAAAGGAGATAGTTCCTTATTGTTCATCAATGAGGACAGAAAAGAAAAATCATTACTTTTGCAATTCAATTTAATAATTTTAACTATTTTAAGAACCAAAGAAGATTTTTTTTTCCTGACTACCAACTAATTATATTTACTCAGGCGTCTGTCCAGACATTTTGCGAAAGGTCCTGTTTTGGTAAAATTGTGAAAAAACTCATAATTTGTGAATATAAAATAAGTATTAAGTCACATTCTTTCAACCAGGGTCCTGCCTTTGTGAATTTGTGCAAACGGGGTCCTGTTACTGCAAAAATTGATAACAAAGTTTTCAAGAAGTTTTTAAATTGTAATTAGATAGAAGATTCTGCTCAACAATTGCTGTTACTAAATTAGAGATGCAACATACAAATATTTGATATTTAGCCTATACTGCTCAACACAGAATATTCATTTCGAACGAATAATGGAAACAAAATCGCTCACATTTTTAATAATTTCAATTGACATATTTTAAATAACACAACTTAGTAATGTATCACTTTTAATGTGTTACATATTAGGTAAACTTAGACAATTCTTAAATTATTAATATTCCATTTAAAAAATTGCCAGAAATTTTTATTTACATAATATTCTATCAATTAATTTTATAATAAATATAAATTGATCAATTATTTACTTACAAAAAAATAAATAAATTATGATTTAATATTAATAAAAATGCGCAATGTTTGTAAAAGTAGAAATATTTTCTTAGAATACTACACCATCTTTCTATCCCCCCACGGGAAGGGTTTATTTGATTATCAAAATAATAATGAAGATAAACAAATTTGTGAAGGGTCCGATTAAAAGATAAATTATTTTGTGAAGGGTCCATTTTTATGAAAAGATAATTTGTGAAGGGTTCGTTAATAGACCCAAATTTCTTCTAAACAGATTTCTGATTTACTTACTTCATTTTTATTTTATTTTTAACAATATGAGAAAAAAATAATTTGCAGATGGCACGATAATCTGTAGCATCAGCTACCGTGTTGGAGGGTTTCTGCTACCAGGAAGGTTGTTAACAGACCTTACTTTCTAAAAGTTTATATTCAAAGATTTTAATAGTGTATAGTACAATTTGAAAACATGATAAGTCATTTAACGGGCAGTAGTACACAAGAAACAAAATATCATAGAAGCTACAAACTCTAAATTGCTTGAAAAAATATGCAGCCACCCCTAAGTAAAACACTATACATATTTTTGGGGAGATTTAACACTATACATATGGTGACATTATACATATATTTTGGGGAGAATAACATCACAGAAAGAGACCCAATTCGAAAAGAAAAACTTGTAGCCACCCCCAGGCAAACATCTATATGTATTTATTTATTGGTCTAAAATTTGCAACTGTAAAATCTATTTGGCACTTTAACGATTGTAGTTGGCGTGACAGATCATGATGCGGAAACATCCCCACATTTTTAATTAATTCTAATTACAAGAACCAAATAACTACACTTGGACAAGCTCATGGTGACTGATGCATGTTAAATCTGTTCGAGTCGCAAAGTCCTCCATGTTCCCATAACAAATCAATACCTCTGGGGGTACTAATTCAGGAGTTTCCTTGTTTTCTGGATTGGTTCTAAATTACAAAACTACGGATTTGAACATTCGTAGTCGTAAACCCAAAAAATTGGGTCGAATGTTCAACGACGGGTATAAAATATTTAGATATGATCAAATAAGATGTGCATATTCCAGAGCATTTCTGGCATAATATCGCTACCTTATTTACTTTGGAACGGCATTCTCTAAAAAATAAGTTAAATAAGATCTATAATTAGTGATTATAACTACTTTACAAATATTAATGAGGCAACAGCTAAGAAATAAGTCTATTGAAATATAAAAGTCTTTATATATATTTTGTATGAAAACTAAGAGTGGAACTATTAAAACAAGTCACCTCATATCAGCTTTCACAAAATACATATAGTCATGTTCAGGAAGAGGGGATATTTGCTCTATAAACTGCTCCTCAGTCATAGTTGGAGGAAGACGTCTGATAATAACCTGAAAGATTATTTCAAAACAAGTAAACATAGATTCAAATTAAAATGCAAACTTTTTCATTGAGTAAATAAATGGGCTTACTTTGGTTTGAAATGTTTTGTCACGCTTCATGATGAAAGTTAAATCATCACAAATTATCAACACAAACTGAACACCAAAACAAAAACATCCAATGTTCTCAAAGAGCAACGTATTCAACGCTCTATTTCTGTCAGCTGAAATTTACGGCTTAGTTGAATCAATCTCTATGTAGCTTTTTGCTCACTCATGGAATTAATCATTTAAAACTATGTTTAGATGGCGTTCATAGCAAAGAAAAAAAAAAGAAGGTCGGTAGGTATCACTAGGTAGGTACTCTTTCATGTCTATGGTAGGTATTTGATTTACGTCGATCTAGAGCTGCACAATGGGTTATTGGCGATGGTCTGGGAAATATCCCCGAGGTTGATCCGAAGACATGAAATCACAATTTTGATTCTCTGCAGAAGGAATGGCTCCTCCGCTTAAAAGAAAGAAAAAAATCAGTAGTAGTTTTAGGAAGGTAAAACAGTAAACTCATTTATTTCATAGTAACTTATTTTCATCCTATTTTTTTATGGTTCAGTTTATCGTTCAAAATTTTTTGAAATTTGTAATGCAACGCACGTAAATGCAAAAACGAGAAAATAAAGGAAAATATTTTCTTCGGATGTGTAAGATTTTATTATGAAGGGACAATGATTGTCACTCAGTCCTCCTTTCTGAGTCAACACCCGATAATAAAATTAAAACAATTCTATTAAATTTCTACAACTTTAAATTTCATTTGAGACAGTTAATAAAAGAAATTACCTGATATTAAATGCGTGGCGAATAGTAAAATAATGAATTTGTTGCAAAAATGAATAACTAAGTAGATAAAAAAATCAAAGAAATTAATGGCACAATAAGTCCTGCAGAACAAGTAGACTATAAACCGGAATTTGTTCAGATTTAGGACAAGAATGAGGCAAATTTTTATTATTATGTCGCAAACTCGGTAAACAGTTAATTTCACTAAATCACAAAATGAAAAAATAACAAATTGTTCACTGCTCTAAATAAGTTGCAAAAAATATTAGACTACACTAAAGTTGACCGCACACTGAGGAAGCAAGTGGAACATCAGAAAACCAGATTTTCGTAATGGTAGTTTGCTTCTCACCATTCTAAATTTGATGGTTAAAAATTAGATTCGTTGGGTTAAATTAGATTTTTATCCAACATTACATTTTTACCCAACTTACTTTTTTATAAAAAGAAAGGTTTTTGTCGCTGATTTCCGTGAAATTTGCAGTAACTACGAAGCACATAAGATCCTGGGTCCTTTAGAAAATGTAAAAATCTATTTCGCTTTTATGTAATTCCCGATGGGCGTGTAAGTCTTTTTTGAGGGGGACGAATTTAAAACACACAGTTACAATAACTCTCAAAACTACACACGCTAAAAAATAAAAAATCTGTTCCACTTGTTAAATGATAATTTTTTTTCCATCTCTTAACTTGTTTATACCTTTAATAAATTTAAATTGATAATGCATCATTCTTTATTTGTTTAAAATATTAGAGGGGAATTTTTAAGATTTCTAGTTATTGAGGAGGTTAAAAGACGCTTAAATTTCCTCTAAAGTTATATTTTTCCATCAAAATCCTAAAAAATCAAAAATAATAAAGTACATTGTTCGAATATTAAAGAACCTAGTATGTGATAAAACAAATTGCGTTTAAAAAAATATTTCTTTATTAAAATGAAAATATGCAGAAAATCACACAAAATGTTACAAGTATTGAAAAAATTTAATATGTTTATTTATTAACAGAAAGAATGCACAGTAATTCAAATATCATATTTGCAGCTGTCAAAGCTGTGTTTCCACTTGGATCATAAGGAGGTGAAACCTGTAAGGAAACAAGTTGCTTTCATTTAAAAATATAACAAAAAGTTATGAATAATATACAAAAGTAGAAATGTTTTTTTTAGTACACAACTAAAATTTGAAATTAAATGTATTTACAAAATACAATAAGAGTAGTATTTGTAGTGCAACTACTACTACAAAGATACAATTCCAATTCACTAGTATATAAGACAAGTTAACTCGATTCTACGTTAGGATACCTTTCCATAGATGAAGGTTGACATGATCGATAACTACTGTCCCCACATTGGTGACCTTCGGACGTGATGTGAACACGCCTATCTTGACAGAAACTCCTTCGATTTGAACACGCCTAACCTTGACAGAAACTCCCACTTCGATTTGAACACGACTACTTCGATGGATTGTTCACATTAAACAGTTGACTTGTGACTGCGACATTACCCAATTCCTCGTGCTGTTGCTACTCAGTCTCGATCACACATAACGTACAACGTATTACTCGACTGCTAAAGGCAAACACAGGAGCGACCACGACCGTGAACTTAATACAGCTCTCACGATCAGCACTCAAAAGTACGGTGATCTTAATACAGCTCTCCCGGCTTTTCTCAAAACAGCAATGAATTAACTAGTGGTATCCGTTCATCGAATTCCATCACAGATAAAATTCTGGTGGGGGAGTACTGTAGTGTGTCTACCACTACAAAATAAAATTCCAATTCACTAGTATATAAGACAAGTTAACTCGATTCTATGTTGGGGTACCTTTACATAGACGAAGGTTGACATTGTCGATAACAATTCACCCCCCACAAAATTGTTGCATATTATCTTTTATTTGTAGTACAGTAAAGTTAGAATAATAACTCTAGTATAAATATAAATATATGTATATACATAAAAAATGTTGGATTAATGTAATAATTAAATATGGGATAGGGGGAAAGTATATATAGATACTTTCTCCCTATACCATATTTAATCGTTACATTTATCCAACATTTTAATTTAGTGTGCCATATTTAATTTTGCATGCTTTCTTACTTCCACCAAGTCTCCTCCAATGATGTTCAATCCATTTAGACCTCTAATGATTTCCAACATCTGTATTGTAGTCAGGCCACCAATTTCTGGCGTTCCTAAAGTTTTAAATTTAAGCTTAATAGGTGTTAACTAAAATATCAAAAAAAATTAATCATGACATTTCAACGTACTACGTACTGCAGCATAGAGCATGTCTTCTAAATGGAAAACTTTTTGGTCTATTTATCTATATAATTATTCAATATGATAGTCAAAGCATATTTAGGATAATGAAATAAAACAAAAAAGGAAATACGAAGTTAATTAACTTAATTTAAAACAGAACTAAATTAATATACTAGATATATATGAAAAAGTACTAAAACTGTCAAAATGTCCGCATTTATAATAACATGCATATTGTAGATGTTGAAAAAAGCATAACTATAGTAAAGTATATTAAGTTTAATTTACCGGTTCCAGGAGCAAAAGAAGGATCTAATGCATCTATATCCAATGACACGTACACTGGTCCATTACCCATCTGTTTTTTGATATCATTCATAAGAGGTGCTAAGGATGTATACCAGCACTCATCTGCTAAGACTATTCGAAAGCCCTGGAAATAGAATAATTAATTTATTTTGTTCAGTTTGAAAATATTCCTCTTAACTGTAAAAGTTTCTATCTAGAAGAATCTAGTAGAGTTAGATATAGAAAGAACTAGATATAGAAAGAACTAGATATAGTAATAATTTTTTAAAATTCATTTATGAAAGCTAATTGGGTACAAATTTTTCAAATCAATTTTTAGAAAATTCAAAGAAAAAAAAATTCAAATCTTAAAATACTACTAATAATGATGATGCATAAAAAAAGACAGAAAAGCATAAAAATAGCATTCTCAAAATGTATACATTTTCCAAACTCAAAATGTTTAACATTTTGAGTTTTAAACCTTAACCATCTTAAATCTTTCGCAAAAAGCGTACGGGTCTCTAATGGAGCATTTTCATTGCATGTGATTTGCATAATGCTATCGCATGTGAATACGATTCACGCATGTGCCAGCAGCATATAGTTTCTACATATTCAGCCAAACGCGTCTCGGACAATTGTAGGTAGTGCGTATACTTCCTTGTTTTTCCAAGAAAAATCGGTTCAGGTAAAATTTTTATGGAAATATTTTGCTTTCGAATAAAAAATTCGAATCAACCAAAATAAAATTAGAACGATACTATACTTTTTAGCATTACTTTTATGTGGAATTCTAGAGACAGAGCAAAAAATTTGAACTATCCAGAATTTTTAATTAAACAAGTTCGAATGATCCACGTTTTATTTATGGTGGGTTATGCAGGTCTTATAATGCTACATTCAATATTCCAGAATTTACTAAATAAGAATTCTTAAAAGAAAAAATAAACTTAGTTTGAGAAATATCAATTTTATATAAATTACTAATGCGAAAATTGTTAAAAAAAACAGATAAAATTCATTTCTCTCTTGAAAGACATGAAGACTGATATATCAAGCTAGTGAGCAGTCATAGCATGAACACTAAAATGTACATGCTTACACATTTCTGATTGAAAGTTCTTTTCTCATATGGATTACGGAAGGCAAAAACAAGCTGAACTATAGGGTGGGCAGAAGTGAAAGTTTAAAAACTGGTGGTTAAAGGTGAATAGTTTCCATAAACAAATAAACTGTTCAATATTTTTGTTTAAGTTATACTTATTAATTTACGAAGGTTCAATAATAACTAAGTGCTACATTTTAGTTTCAATGACACTCAAGAGAGATGCGTTTTACCAACAAAGATCGGCGAGCTATGCTTTCCCCCCATTTTCTATCCATTTAATTTAGCTTTTATTCGTGTTACGAATTTATATTAGAATGAAGATGTTAGAATTAGATGATAGATTATGTTAGAATATGAAATATGTTGCTTCTTCAAACACTTAAGTTTATAATCTTGTAGGAACAAAATCATAATATATGTAAATTAAATGAAATGTTTATAAAACAGAGATATCATTGTATGTACAGTGCGGCTTTCAGGAGAACTCCTCCAGATACCCGTCTCGCGTCGTGGCCGGAACTATGGTTACGAGGAAAGGTCACTTCGAATAGGGGTGTGGGGTGAATAGTTTTGTCTTTATCTTAGCTTAAGTTCTCGTGAATAAACCAATCGACACCTTCTTTCCACCATTTCACCCCCATTAGAAATGCGCTCTCGCTTGTTACCATAGCAGCAGACAGCCCCAGATTTTCAGTCTGGAGGAGTTCTCCTCAATGTCGTACAATGTCAGTTTGTATTGCTTATGCAAGACGATCATTTTACCTGATCGATGCAATACTGATAATCATGTGGAGTATAGGAGGTTCCTCTTAGTCCTATTTGCACAACCCTCTTTCTGTCCAATAGGCCTTCTTCTACAGCTCTCCGGAAAGGCGTTCCATGAGCAATTTTGCAATCCATCATCGATTCGTTCACGTCAGCATGCGCATCAACATGAATCAAACCAACGGGTCCGTACTTCTCCTAAAAATAAAAATACGAAATTTTTTTACAAATTTGTTTTAAAATTTGATTTCTGAAGCATTTTTCTTGAAGCATTTCTCAAAATATGGTAAACACTACAGGGTTAATTTCTAAAATAAAGAAATACTTTTCTGACCTTTCCAAGTAGGTCTAAGCAAAATTCAAGTACTGTATGGAACGCATTCAACAAAAAAAAAAAGAAAAAAAAAGAAACTTGTTTTTACTTAGATAACTTTTAATTATTATCAGCCTAATTAACCTTTGGATAACCAAATTTAGTCCCCTTAGAGTAAGATAACCTGAACGTTTCTGGAATTATTAGTTTTCTTGTCAAATAAATTTAAAAAAAAGCGAGAAATGGAAAGGAAAATGGGGGTGAATTTCTGGCGAAAAAACTGACGATAGGATGGCGAGTTACAAGCAAATTTTTAATTGCCATTTAGTTTTTAATATTTAGCGGCCCTGTGGGGCTCGTAATTTAGCTTTATATAATTTAATTAACATATTGCAAAAAAAAATAAATAAATAAATAAATAAATAAATAAACAAATCACACTGAGTAAAATTGCGTATTTAACCAACACTAACTACAGAAATTCTTTAAATAATTCCCTTGTAAACGATATTACTTCCTCACCACGTCTTCGTAGCGCATGGAAATGTATTTTACCTTGATTTGCGCCCCTCGACCACTGTGGTTTTTCTTGTTCTGTTTTTTATTTTTTTTCCTTTTTCAGCTACTGTGGATTTTGTTGTTCACCCTTATTTTTCCATTTTTCGTTAGTGACATAGCGTTTTTATATTTCAAATCATTTTTGTTTCTTTTCCTCCCCGTTCGGCAAGTCTTGAATATAGGCGCCTGTTTTAGAGCGCTTGAAACACGGCGACTGTAATTTTCTATTTATATATTTTTAAAGCGAATGAAGTTATTTTCAATTCAAGCAATTATTTTCAGGGAATAGAGAAATACATATTGGGAGTAAATTTCATGTTTAGTAAATATAATCTCTTTTTATCATAATTGGTATTCTCAGCTTTTTTAAGATAAACTTATATGTTTAAAATTTGGCAGTACCTTAATAGCTTGCAGTATCGGGTACGTAATAGTGTGGTCTCCGCCCATAGTTATTGGAGTACAATTTTTGGCCAGCACTTTAAGAATGAAAGCTCTGATGTCTTGTATCGCTTTTTGGATATCATAAATGGTGACCGGGACATCTCCAATGTCAGCAATTTGCAAAACAGAAAATGGATTTACACCTAAAAGAGGTTATAATTTTAAAATTAGATATTAATTTTTTATGTTATATTAATTAAAAATTCTAAATGTTTTTAAATCGAAATGTTAAAAATCCTAAACCTGCTTTTTCAAATATTATTGAAATGACTGAGAATTGCAAACATTAAATAAATAATCCAAAGAAGCTGTAGCGGTATTAGGTATCATTTGATTGAAAACTTCATTTGCTTCAAAAATATACAAATCTGAAATAATAGTCGACATATTTCAAGCGCTCAAAAACAGGCTCCCATTTTCAAGACTTGCCAGACGTGAAAGAAAAATGCAGAAGTAATTTGAAATATAAAACTTAAAGTTTCTAACAAAAAATGGAAAAATAAAAGTGGGAAACAAAACTAGAAAAACCACAATAGCCGAAAGAGATGAAAGATGAAAAACAGAACAAGAAAAATCATAGTGGGCGAGAGGGGCGAATCAGGGTAAAACGCATTTCCAAGCGCTATGGAGAGTGGTGAGGAACTAATGTCTTCACAATAGAATCAACATTCATAAGAATAAAACAAAATTCCGGGCCATCAAGTTGAACTGATGTGATTGCGGTAGAAATAATTTTATCATTGTCGAAATTAAATTTATGCCCAAGATTCCAACAACGATTAACAATTGATGATTTTTCGAATTCTTGATAATGGACATATGTATGGTGCCCCATTCATTCCTGATAAGTCTTGAAAATGGGCGCCTGTTTTTGAGCGCTTAAAACATGTCAATTGTTATGTCCGGTTTGTATATTTTTGAAACATTTGTAGTTTTTGATCAAATAATTACAAATAGTGTTGAAATTCAACGTTAAACAAAACTATTTGTGAAAGCATTTAATACAATAAATCAAAACTATTTTCTTGCATATTACAGGAGCTTGGGGCAATGTAATGATAAGCCACATTTTAAAATTGTTCAGGAAAACATTTTTGGTTTACTACATCACGATTTCCGAGTAGTCATTGATATGTTTATGTGTGTTATACTGCCAAAGGTTTGAGAACATAAAAAATATTTATCTCAGTGATATAAAAATGGCCATATCACTATATTTCTCTAAGATATCAAGCTGATTTTTATGGGATTTTTCACAATGCGGATTGTGATATATATTTAATTTTGCAACATTTTACCATTTTCTATTGAAAGGAATTTCATTATGAAATTTGGGAGAAGGAAACAGATACTTTTTCGCATTCATTAGAAAAATGTTATGAATAAGTATTTTTGTTATTATTTTTAAATAAACATAACTTAAATTCAATTATAGCTTTTTTTCTATACCTTTTAGCAGTTGATATGATCTCTTGATCACTCGCAGATATTTTAGGAAAAGCACCAGCATTTAAAAATCTCAACTTTTCGTACGTATTAAATGCTTTATTTAAATATAAAAGAAGGAATAGGTATTAATAGGCATCGAATGTATTCGAAAACTTTCGTTAATGTCGAATACGTTCTTAAACATTTTTTTTTAAAAAGCTTCTTTCTCTATTTTACTTTTTGTTACAGCTTATATGTTGTAGTACGTAAAATGTAGTAGGATTAAGTGTTTAGAATTAAGTTAGGAATTAAATAAGAAGTTTGCAAGTGTTAGGATTTAAATAGAATTTTTCGAAATTCTCATTTTTGGAGGAGTTGAAACTGTAAACTTTAATCACCTTTACCAAGAAACAGTATTTTGAAATCCCGTTCCATCGATACAGTTGGGTTTATTGATAGATTTATATTTTGTGTATATGAGTTTATAGATAACACTAGGGAGTAAATTTTTTGTTGCATTTATACTAATGCTGGAGCTTTCCTATTTCAGGTGTGGGGATTTCAAATATGAAATTAGCTTTACTCTTAATGCTACAATTTTTTTTTTTTTAAAATGACATTTTTGTCTATTTTTTATCGAACTGTACAAGTTATAACAGGGGTCGTGTAAATGGGGCGACAAACTTCTAGAGGAATTAATAGAAATGAATAGAAAATAAAATCCGAAGATGTCGTTATACGCGGCTAGCGGCGCTTTCCTATTAACACCTATTCAGAAGCACACGAAGAAACAGTTTATAATTGGGAAGCTCGCTTAGCAACGTATGATGATATTTCCGGGCACTGGTTCCTATGCAGTTTTAATCCTGAAGACGTTCCTTAACTCCCTCAGAAGTTTGTCGCAACAGGCGATCCCCTGTTATATATAACGTTTTCAAACTTGCACATTTCGAGAAGAAATGGATTAAAAATATTGTTAAAAAAACTGTAGCTTGGAGAAAGCAATCATTTGCTGATTTGAAATCAGAAATACAAAAGTAGCTAATATTTGTTAAATAATGTCATGCAACAGAAGAAAAAAAATTTGTTCCCCAGTATGATCGAATTCTTTAAAATGTAGCATGGATTTTTTTTGTTTTGTTAATACTTTTATTTCTGACTTAATACGTGCTTCAAATGTTAATTTTTTCTTCATTTTTGCTTAAAAATTTAAAGTTATACTTTACTATAGGTACATATTTGTTTTATGACTCAGAAAAGAGTTTAAAAAATTTGCTATAGCTAAGCATAAATCCACTTGCCTAAACAAAGTAAACTCAATGAGTTATAATAAATAACTCATTATTTATTATAAAAATCATTAAAAATTTTGATATTTTCAAATTTGAAACATTTTGTAATTTTAACATTACTTAATTTTCAGTCAGATAAATTAACCACAAATTTAGTTCTCTCTTATTTTTTAGGTGCCAGATACAATAAAATTGGCGAAATTGTGAACGCAAGTTAAAAATATTGTCTTTGAGATGAATGGTAAAACTATCATAATTATGTGCTTCAGAATATGTGGGAATAAATAAATAACTCGGGAAGTTTTCAAAATACAACAAAAGTTAGGTATTAAATCAGCAGATATATTTTTCTAGAATCCAAAAATTTTGACCTGAGGCTCCTTGAAAATTTAGAAAAGCTCAAAAATCTTGTGTGAAATGAGAGGTCCTCCTCCCCCGAAAGAAATATATATTGCTTTCCTGCTTCATATGGAAGCAAGATTTTCGGAGAACCAAAAATCGTAAGATGCTTTGGATTTTCATTTTTGATCATATTGCTGTAACTAACGGAAGAAAATCAAACAAAATCTTTACAACTTTTACAAAACTATTAAAATAATGAAACTTTTCAATGCTAAGTTATTAAATTTTTTTTTTTTTACCTAATTTAATAATAATGGAAATTTTCTCAATTGTAGTACAAGTTTATACATGGGCCATGTCAATGTCTACATAGTTATTCTATAATAAAGCCCGAAATTTGGAAACGATTTCACAAGTTTTTCATAATGTTTGTTGGTTAATGTGTTATTATTTGTAAAATTTTTTAATTTTTATATATTGGCAAAAGAATATTTTGTGACTTAACATTTTGCAAAACTTATTTGTTAAATTTGAATAATTATGAGCTGAAATATATTAAATAGTAATTTAATCAAAGCATAAAAAATGGTTTTGTTTTATAGAATACTTGAAGTTAACACGTTTAATAATCATGAGTCAAAGCTTTTACACTCACATGTTTAATTATCGAAAAATAGTGAAAAAATAGAACATTAAAAACAAAAAAATAAGCATTATTGGATTTTCGATATTTTTTTTATTGATGGAATTTTTTGGAATATTGGTTACTTTTATTATTTTGGATGACTAATAAATTATTAAAAAAAAACTTTATTTTGAGTACTTTTTTTCACGTATTTAATAAATTGAGTTATAACTTAGTTATAACTAACTAAGAATTACAACTGCTCACACAAAAAACCGATTATTATCTTAAAAAATTATTCAGAATGATTTACCATTCCTTTAGAAGCATGTACACTGCTGGAACCACTGTTTTAACACATAGCATAATCTTCTTTTGATCATTTGATTTTTTCTTATGCACTGTAGTTGTTAAAAAGGATAAATATTAAAAAAAAAAACAACTTTTTTTAAAAACTTATTACAATTCATTCACTAACTAAATAAAAATATCTCATTTAATTGTTTTGTTTTTTAATTGAATTGGAATAATAACAGTCAATTTTATTCATATACCTGTACTAGAATTGCAAGGTCTCAAAAGTGATGATTCCGCTCGTATTTGACGAGGTCCAAATCGAGTACCGGATCGATTAGATGTACCGCAGTCCATTGGTATGCCTAATATACCAACGTCTAAACCTAAGAAAATTACAAAAAGAGAGAGAGAATGAAAAAAAAAAAAAAAATTAGCCTAAGTTATAGTTTGTTTGTAAAAATGTGATTCCTTCATTTACAAACTTAGACGTAAGTATGAAATAAAACTAATTACAAAAAGAGGTATTTCAAACCACTTTTTTATTGTGAAAAGAATCAAAAACTGGAAAATAATGTATTATTAAAAAAATTTAAAGAAGAATAGAAAATACAAAAAAAGGGACTTTCTGGTAGTATATTGAAGTAAAATATGCCTCGTTTCCTTAACGTTTTTTGATTTTACCTCCTGAAAAGTATTTTTTTAGAATATTTGTGCAGTTTTTAAAAAAATATTGTCTAAAAACTGCTTTTTATTAATTCAATTTTTCATATTATTTACTGATTAAAATATGAAATATAATAAAATAATTAATATTGGTTAAGATTTTAAAAATTTTCTTCATTCATGACTTTGAAACATCTTCCTCGTGAACCTCTTTCTCAGAAATATAGAGAATGCATTTTCTTTTAAATAAATACATTAAATTGTTTAATGAATTCATTAAATTAATTAGCAAATGAATACATTATATTGATCAGCGTAATAAAATTTTAAGCAATTTTCATTTCGAAATCCTAGTTCCCTAAAAACATATGAAAACTAATAATAAGAAAGAATATAAGTGCAAAATTTTAAATTTCAAACAAAATCGGTTTTAAAAACACGTAAACAGCGGGGAGGGGGAGGTCGCGCTTTAAGGTACGCCATACATACTGCATTCATACGCTTGCTTATTGTTAACTAGCAAGGGTAACTATTTTATAACTGACGTTGAACAACCGACTCAATTCCAAGTGTACGGCTATCAATGTTCAACTCCGTTGCCTTGCAAATTTGAACCTAACCTAGAAGACAAGGGAACTTCTGGATTAAGCATCGGGACTAACTAGTCTTCGCGGAAGACTTTTTGACGGAACTAGTCCACATTTGCGATACATGGAGAGCCCGTGCGCAAGGAGATTCTAACTCATAATACATATACCACAGAGAGTATTTAGCGTCAGCACTGTGGCAAGTGCGAGCTGGGAGCCGAATTCGTTTCAACCAGCCACCTGAGTGGGAGACAAACGATCTATCCCCTGAGCCATCGCGGCTCAAGAGTATATCATCAGGAAACCCAAGATATATATTCTTTTCTGGTGGTTAAAATAATAAAAAGGAAAAGAAAAGGCACTTACTATCATTCACAATCAAAGTATATTACAAACCAGTGGTTTTTCAGGTGTCAAAAGTAGTTTCTTTAAAAAATAAACTTGGAAAAATGAGAGCAGATTTCTTTTGTAGAAATCAAAAACAGCCAACTCTCTAGCTGTATTTAAGTGATTAACCATTTACGATAAACCATTTACACAGTTACGAGGCGCATTCAGAAAGTAAGTTTCCCTAATTTATAAAAAAAAAAACGAACTCGCAATAAATATGTTCCTGAAAGAACATATTTATTGGCAACAAGTCGAACAATGTTTCAGCTATTTTTCAACATAGCCACCACCAGAATTGAGACACTTGTCGTATCGTGGAATTAACTTTTGTATAACGCTGCCGCCTGTGAATGGATCCAACGTGTGACAGACGTCTTCAGTTCTTCGTCGTTGCCAAAACGCTCACCGAAGGACGGGAATTTCTTGAGGTGCAGAAAACGTGAAAATCACTGAGAGCAATATCAGGGCTGTACGGTGGATGATCAAACAACTCCCGGCCAAATTCCGTCAAAACAGTTGCTGTGCGTCATGCCGTATGTGGACAAGCATTGTCATGGAGGAGCGCAACACCTGCAGTAAACATTCCACGATTCTTGTTTTGAATAGCAAGTCACAATTTCCGCAGTGTTTTGCAGTAACGGTAGACGTCTGTCACACGCTGGTTCCATTCACAGGTGGCAGGATTCTACGACAGAGGGATACAAAAGTTGATCCCACGATACGACAAGTGTCTCAATTGTAGTGGCGTCTATGTTGAAAAATAGCTGAAACATTGCTGTACTTGTTGCCAAAAAATATGTTCCTGAAAGTGTGAGTTCTTTTTTTTTAAAAAATNGCATGCTATACATACTGCATTCATATGCTTACTTATTGTTACGTAGTAAGCGTAACTATTTTATAACTGGCGTTGAACAGCCAACCCGATTCCAAGTTTGTGGCTATCAATGTTCAACTCCGTAGCCTTGCAATTTTGAACCTAACCTAGAAGACAAGGGAACTTCTGGATTAAGCATCGGGACTAACTAGTCTTCGTGGAAGACTTTCTGATGAAACTTGCCCACATTTGCGATGCATGGAGAGCGCGGGCCCAAGGAGATTCTAACTCATAATACATATACCTCATATTTTACGTCAGCACTGTGGCAAATAAGAGCTGGGAGCTAAATTCGTTTTAACCAGCCATCGCTGAGATTCAAACCTAGGTCACATGAGTGGGAGGCAAACGATCTATCCCCAGAGCCATCGCGGCCCAAGAATAACCATATATAGCTAGCATGCTAACCAATCATCAGGAAACTCAAGATAATTTTAAATCTTAAAGAAATATCAAAGGATAGCTAATTTTAGATGTATAACATGAAGTTATAAATACCCTCGGCAAGAGGCTGGAAAGGGAGCCTCATAAATGTGGCTATTCCACCAGCCCTAGGCATATCATTTCCAGATAATGGAGTGTTGAAAGTCGATGCAGCAAACGATCTTTTAGCACAAATCTGGAATCCCTTTTGAAGGAGATATGAAAGCTTTTTCATCGTGATATTTCACAAATTAATTTTACAAAGTACGTGGAATAGTTGTAGATCGAAAAACCTGAAAAAGATATAAATTAAAACGATTAATAAGAAAGATAAGACGGCGAAAGCATTTATTTTTCAAATCTGAAGTTTTAAAAAAGGAAGGAAGTTTTAAAAATTCACGCATTAAGAATTGAAAATTAATGTTTAGGTGAGACAAAAAACATTATCAAAATCTATCAACTTATTCTTGAAGTCAAGCAAAATGTAGAAGAGATTAAAAATATAGGAAAAATATTTTTTTCTAACGCTCTATTTACAAGCAAATATATATTTTACGATTTTTTAATTATAAAAAACAGTTTAATAGTAGCTAAAAATAATCTGGTAGAATATCGGAATTATATTTGTACGAAAATATAAAATCCATAAAAAGTAGTTTTAATTTTTCTTTCATTGATATTCAAAAATTTATCAATAATCCATTTTGTAAATTAAAGTAATTTCAATGATGAATAACTGTTTCTCTGAGATTTAATTAGCTGCAAATAAGTGCAAATTAAAAAAATATATATATTACTTGGAAATGAGCAGTGTTTGGAAGATTTTACTTTTAGAAAAAGATACCAGCATTTCACAACCATAAATTATTGAAAGGCTCGATGTAATACTTTTCATTTATTTTAAGACGAAATAATGAAAAAGTATGAAAGATATGTTTAATAAAGATATACTGTGTCAAAGGGTTAAAGGTGAATATTCGAAACGCCCTTCAGGCAACCAAACTAGTTTCGTGGCTTTAATGGAGCTTTTACTTTAATTCATCTTGGTAATGTTTAGTCATATTTTCATATTAATTTTTAAACCTTTGTATTTCATATCCTTATTCTTAGTTAAAGTTAGTCTTAGTTTAACTTAAAGAACTCAGTTTTGCAACTTCAGGAATCATTAATAGTGTTAAAATACAAAATGAGTATAACAAACTTGATAACAAATTCGATGTTTTGCAACTTCAGGAATCATTGATAGTGTTAAAATACAAAATGAGTATAACAAACTTGATAACAAATTCGATGTTTGTAATGTATTGAAAGGGTTACACAACAACACTTGTTAGAAAATAAATAAAAAAATACAAATAAAATTTTTTTTTAAAAAAAACTTGACATATTTCATTTTGTGCATCATTTATTTTAATATCTATTATAGTTTCGAAAATAAAAATATTAAAATCTGGTCATTATGCTAATTAAATAGTATGCTAATGCTAATTAATTAGCTCAATATTCTAATTAATTAGTGGAGAAGTTATTTCAAGTTACGAAAACGGGCATAAAACGTACTTTCTCTGAATAAACATAAGGTCGGGTTCTGATTTCTGACCTCCAAAATATTGGGGGTAGCTGTAATCTGGAAAATATGGTCCCATAGGATCCCAACTGGTCAGGAGAACGATCCAAAGTTTGGATCTATTAATGTTAATTTTACTTTTTTTGCGTGTTTTGCCATATCTCGAGAACTTTTTTAGCGAAATTTTTGCAAAATTCATTAGTCCAAAGATAATTTCGGGCAAAAAAAAAAAAAAAAAAAAAAATCAANAAAAAAAAAAAAAAAAAAAACTTTAAGTAAATATTTATTATTTTGTTTAACAATAGTTGAAATTTTTTGAATGGTAAGGCATAAAAATTTTTCCATCATTTTAAAGACTATAATTTTACATGTCAAATTACGAAATTTGAGCGAAATTGGTCGAATAGTTCCTGGAAAATATCTAATTTTAAAAAAGTCATACATTTAAAATTCACTGCACACTGTTCACCAGCCTTCTGATAGCACGAATAATGTGAGTAAAAATAATATTTTTCAGTTTTAAAAATAACCTTTTATTTATAACATAGCAAAAATGAATGTTTACCAGGTTTTGTTTAAAATAAAATTGTTTAAGGCTATGAATGAGAAAAAAAAATTCTTTAATTTATTTGAGTTTTTCTTAAGTGCATGAGCATTTGTAAATTGCTAGTTTTTAGGAAACTGATAAAGTTAGATTTATAAGAAACAAGTAAAATTTCAATACTGACAAAATCAAAAGAAATACGTCTGTTGTATTTATTTTATTCGAATACATTCTTAAGAAATGTTTGTAATAGAGTTTTCAAAACTTATCATTCTGTCATCAGAAAACTCTAAATCTAATAAAGAGAAATTTATGTTTGTTTTAACCATTATTTCATGCAGGCGAAGAAGTTTGCTTTCCAGCAAAACTTATTCTTCAGTTATAGGGCTTACTATGTTATGGGGGCCACGAGCAGATCTCTGCATCGCGTTTCAAAATTTAACAAACTTTCTAAGATTAAAAAAATAAATAAATATCAAGTAGAATTTTTATGAATTTTTTTTAGTTTATTTCACAAATTTAATATTAATGAAAAATAGCGATCTTTTCATTAATGGGTAACTGTTAATTAGAAGAAATTTTTTTTTTTGGCTGGGTGGTAATAAGTAATTATTATAACTAATTAGGAGGTTAATGGTTGGTAAAAGAGCATATAGTCTAGTAATTATAGAAAAATGTATTTTATGGAGAAAATTAGTACCCAATTTTTTTTTTCACTGAAAGCTTTGCTACGTTTTAATAAGTGATACCAGAAAACTCCCCTTATCTCTTCTGTACATTTCCTCTTCTTTTTTTTTTAGCGAAATTAGGATGATTTGAATTTCTTCTAGACGGGAAGGCATTGTTTCAATTGTATTTTTTTATGCTTGAAAACAATTCAGATGATTGGACTAATAATTAAAAAGTTATAAGGGCATAAAGTACAAAATTGTACTTGTACCTATTGTACGCATCTGACATTGCTATAAATTTACGTTGAATCGAGTGAAACTATTGACGAGTCAACAAAACCAATAGTTTAAAAGCGCAAGTATTTTTACATATTACAAGTATTACTTTTGACGTGCATTTATGTGCATTTTTTACTTAGGTCAAAGAGATATTTAAACGCAAAAGGTATAATTTCAAATGTCACATATAACGCAGAATGAAAGGAAATAAAATTCAAGTTTTTAGCATAATAGTAATAAGAGATCTTTATAATAAGTACAATCCAAAATTAGTTCTTTTTATACAAATGAAGCCCATTGCAACTTTTTAGATTCTAGCTCTTTTGATTTGTGTTTAGTCTTATCCGGTTAAGCGAGAAAAAATACACAGGATACACTTTTCGTAAAGAAATGTAAGAAGCGTAAATATGTGTTAATACAAGATTCTACATTTTGTGCATCAAACGTTTATAACTTCTAAACTATTAATCTGATCGTTTCAGAGTTGATTTTATCCAATTCTTCGTGGAAAAATATATCAGAAACCAATGCCTCACTTGCCTGTCTAGAAGAAATACGATTCTTTTCCTTAATTCACCCTCCCCCATTTTCTTCAAAAAAGGGGGAAACAAACGGGGAAGTATTGGGGAATTTTCAAATAACTCTTATAAATACATAACAAAGCTTTATGTTAAAAAAAAAAATCTTGGATTTTAAATTTTCGGAAGAAAATGTCTAGAATTTTTGGAATAATACAGTAAATTTTAATTCACCCTCCCCCATTTCTTTCAAAAAAGGAGGGAAACAAACGGGAAAGAATTGGGGGAGTTTTCAAATAACATTTATCAATACATAACAAAGCTTTATGTTACAAAAAAAAAGTCTTGGATTTTAATTTTTCTGAAGAAAATGTCTACATTTTTTGGAATACAGTAAATTTTAAGTAATTTTTAAAATTGAAATAATGCCTTACTCACGTATATATAAAACGTAATGAACCCAGTAAATTAATTTTCTTAACGATAAGAAAAGTTATTGGAAATAACATAATATTTTAGATAAACACAATGTTGCTCCCCCTTAAGGCATAGAAAATAGAACCAAACAAAAATACAAAACCATCGTTACCATCCGAACTAGCTGGTGAACTCGATGCTGAGGGAATCAAAAAGCAGTTTTCATTCTTGGCACACCTGTCTGTTTACAACTGGGCATGCGCACACCTTTCTTTCCTTGTATTTATTAAAAGATAAAGGCAGAAGTAAATCTATTTAATTATAACACAAATAAGAAAAAGAAGAAGCATACTTAAAAGACATGACTGCATTATCTGAAAAGAAGAAATAGAAATGATAAAAAAATTATTTATGATTTTTCGTATGATTGCACATTTTACTTCTAATCTTACTTGTATTTTCACCATTTGAAAGATTTCTTTCTTTCTTCTTTGACAATGTAGAAAAACTTTTTTATAATAAAACAAAAATTATTTAATGGTTGGACAGCTATAACTAGCTTTTCTTGTGTGGAAAAAGTCTAAATTTATTAAGTTAAAATCATTAGATATCATCCAAAAACTTAAATATGCTTTTTTTTTCTTTTTAAATAAATGTCTATTTATCACAGCTTTAAACTATCTTATAAAGACCACTTCTTATTCAATAGGTCTAATTACACATTTTATGATAAAATGATTGCCTTACTGATATTTGTAAAACTAAGCCCATTTTCAGATTTCAATTTTTTTTTCTTTCTTCGCGTCTTTAAAATAAAATTTCCCACTTTTTGAGGCTTATCCTTCATTAAGGAATATCTTATAATTTAATTGTAACCAACAATTAACTTTTAATTATCGTAAGTTTTAAGGGAATTATAAAACTTAACATTATGTAGATGCATGCTACAAAATACCGAAGTTTATTGTTTTATATAATGTACAAGAGCCCTCGTCATATTAGATTTTTTGGCTTGTTTTATCAATGCGTTTTGCTTTTAACAAAATTTTGATGATAAAGTATAATTCCAGACCCAAATTTTGATTTAAAAAAAGTGTTTGCTATATATACAGGGTGATTCTAAAAAGATGGGCAAAATTTTAGGAAGTGATAGTACACCAAGCAAAGAATTTTTATCAAAGAATGCATGGTCGAAAACAAAACGGTAAGGTGCTAGGGTATTTGGAAAGTTGTTTGATGCAAACGTGAAAGCTCCATTCCTGTTGCGAGTTACTGCGCTGCGTTACTTGTCGCCAAGCTTTCGGCCGCTGCAGGGAAAGTTCGTGATATGCCTGGTGTGTTTCAGAATGTTCGCCTATCTTTTCTTCGCCGTTGTACTGCGTGCATAGCCGCTGCCGGCCACTGTTTTGAACACTTATTGTAATCACATGCCATTAAATTTGCTTTTATAACTTAACTTCATCGTTCTTTGTGTGTTTTTGCCTTATATAAGAACATAAACTTTGACACCCTCTAGCGGTTTTGCTTTCGACCATGCATTCTTTGATAAAAATTGTTTGTTTGGGTGTGTACTATCACTTCCTAAAATTTTGCCCATCTTTTTAGAATCACCCTGTATATATGGAATAATTTTGTCATAAAAAATCTATTGAAATTATAAAATACCATGAAATTGTCAATTTTCTCCGATTCTGATAGGGCGATGACCTTTATTTTTGCTTGTTTCATAAGATTCTAGAGTGGAGGAAATAACATTGATTAACAATATCTCCGCTCTTGTCCCTTTGACAAGGTAATTTATAGGTTTTAGTTTTTTTTTCTGCATTGTTAAATTATAGGTGAACTTATAATCAAATGTTATTTTCTGAAAAAATATATTTGTCAGATTTAAAATTTTACACAACTCAAAACAGTTTAATCACTAAAGAGGTTTAATTTAACCATATTAAACTAAAAAATTGTATTAAAATAAGAATCAAACCAGTTAAAAAGCTAACTCAAAAGTCACCTTTCACTCTTATTTTCGTTTAAAAATTAATGTTTGAAATAAAATAATATCCATTAAAAAAAAAATTGCGAAGTCAGCTTTTTCGAGGTAGCGTGTAAAACTTAATCTAGTAGAGGTTTAGTTTTTATATATTATCGGGAATGAATAAATACAAGCACGAACCGATATGAAATAACCTCATCAGTAACAGACTCTGAACAGAAATAAATGTTTTAAAGTAGTACTTAATATTATTTCCCATATTTAATAAAACCACCTTGATTTCGTTTTATAATTAGACGCAAAGAAAATGTGAATGAATATGTAATATAAATGAATGTATATTAAATAAGTCGATCCAAACACACCGGAATCACGCTGCAATTGGAATTCTAAAGTAATAATTTCACCTGTAGAATTATCACTCTTTTTCAAGAATTGTTTACAAATTACAGAAAGCCAACAAATGACGCCGTTTACAATGACGCGAGTGCAAGAGAGGAGTATACAAGAAATGTGGTGGCAAAGAAGTAAAATCGTTCACATGAGTTCAGCAAATCACTCAGAGCCATAACCGAATAGCTATGACACCGGGGACGCATGTGATTAAATGTTTACGTGATAGAACTTTATGTGGACGGGAATGTGGAGGCACTCAGTATAAGAGGAACTTGGAACTGTCCAAAGTGTCATCTCTAAGCTTTGACGATTCCAAGATGTTATGTCATTAAACGTTGGAGTATAGGTCGCCAATAGAGTTACAATGCAGAATGAAGACATGTATCTTGCAGTTATTGCCGAAAGCAAATTGAGCACAGCATTCGACTTGTCTCGTCGGTTATCTGCAACCACGTAAAGACGTTTGGGAAGTATTGGTCTATATATATATGCTCACAGGCCTGGCATATCTGTTTCGTTCACGGTCCTTCACTGTTGCCAGCGATTAGCTGGAGTAGAGAATATGTAATGTGGACATATTCATGGTAGGCTTGAGATTTTTTCCAACGAGCATAGGTTTCTTGTAGTTTGATTCAGGTCGCACTGTCGTATGGAGATCGCCAAGCACAAAAACAATATCATTGAACGACATTTATGGTAACGCAGGATTGCTTATTTGAGGTGGAATTATAGTGGGCTCCAGAACAGATCTGCGTGTTCAAATCAGAACCATGGTAGGCCAAATTTATCGGACATTCTGGAACAGCACGTAGATTTACTTAAGGACGGCATGGGCACAGAATGTTTTTAGGTTTGGCAATGCCCAAGTATTGTAAACCTTCAATATGTCTAATCCAATATCGCATATGTAGAATATGCTTAGCAGACAAGTTGCAGCGCTTCAACCACCTACACGCATACCAGATCTTCAGAGAGCATTGCTTACCAAGCACAGTAATCTTCCCAAAGATTAGCTCTTGTATACTCAACATGCCATTGAGATACAGACTATCTCATTGAATTCCAAGGCATTGTTGGGAGACATACTATTCATTAACCATCATACCAACTACTTAATATTAAGTTTTTGCAAAGGAGATATTTTTTAAAATTGCTCCAGGAGCAAAAATCTTAGTTTTTATGAATGGTATCATACAAACACCATCTTTTCTTCTGTATCTTTTGTTTAATGAATGGGCCTTATAAGCCTTTTGGGTATTTTTTCCTTCTAACCTTTCTTTGCCAGAGCTGGCATTATCCTTAGCTTACAGACACAAGTGTATATGAGCTTGTATACAAGATGACAATATATTACTAAGAAATTTAAATCTCAAGACTACTATTTGTAATTTGTTCAAAACTCAGGATCGAACAAAGAAAAAGTAATGTATTTAGACTTTTAGGAAGCTTTTCTCTTGCCACACTAGTAATAAAAAAAAGTCAAAGTAAAAAAGAAATTTTTTTATTGAAGCAAATAAACAAGTTTTACAGATAAGTATTATAAAAATAAATGATACATACTTATTTCCAGGATATTTACAATATCACATAAGTCTAATTTGTGATAATCTTACAGAGTTCAAAAACTATGTTATATACAGAACACTTTAATTTTTACAGCAAAAGCTCTTTAGATTTGCATGATATTCATAAACTACAATTCTATGCAGATTAATATATAAGTAATTTTTGTTAAAAAGGTATTCCTCACGTTAAAAACATACAAAAAATATTTAAACCTTGTTAATAAGTTAAAAGTAACAAACTATCCAATAAAATTCTAAAAATATATTCAAAGGAGGTTAATATGATAGTAGATTGGTAAATTTCAGATAAATTGAAATCTACACAAAAGGAACCTGAATAAGAAAACGATTAAAAAAAATTTAATTGAGACCTACGAGGTTGGTATATTAGTTTTAGTAGCTTGTCCGTTTTACTTCAGTTTAATGAACTTTAAACTGAGTTGTAACCCTTTTGACGACTTCGACGACGCCCAATCAGATAGGCAATCAGTACAACTATAATCAAAGCAGCAAGAGCACAGGCTACAACAATAGGTACAATATCACTAATGGTGTCATCAGCAGGACATCTTTCAGCTATCAAATAAAGATTAAAAAATTATAATAACAATTGCATTAAGCATTTAGAGTTTTAACTTGAAGATTATTATATGCCTGAAAATTTTTGCAAATATATTGCAATTATAATTAGATACTAATATAAGTAGCAACTAGCATATATAGTTCTTATTTTATAAAATATTTACCAGTTTGAGTGTAAGTACTAGATTTTTTAAAATTTTCAGGTAGTAAGCTTTCCTTCATGAAAATAATCAGTTTTCCACTCATGGTATTCAATAGGAAAGTAGCATATAATAGAAATTTCAGTGTAATTTTGCCCAAGAGTTCAGAGTGTTAATTCACAATTTTTTTCAAAATAAACTATTTATATATTGTAAAACCAATAATCTCGTGAGTGAGAGACAAAAAACTACAACAGGAGTTAACCTTAATACAAACAGGAGATAATTACATAAAAAAATTAACATTTTTACTTAGGCACATTTGATGATATGCTAAATTTTAATTTTTTTCTTTCATAAGGAGGCTAATATTTAAAATAAAGCTTACAAGCAAGAGTAATTTATTAAATAGTGACAATTTAAAAAAAAAAAAAATTTAAAATCTGGATACTGACAAAAGAAACATTTGTAATTCTTATAGATATGACGCTAATATAAAGAATTAAGACGCATAATTGTATAATACAGCAATATGTACAGCAAAAAAAATATATATATATATATAAAATATACCTATAGCAAAGTCCTTGCCCGTACCACCAAAAGCTTGGATGTGCATTTCAAAAATTTCCATAGTTGCATTTTGCATGGGAACTGAAGTCAAACTCTTGCACCAGTAAGAATAATCATTTTGGACTGAAAACAACTTTGAGTCGTTATAGAAAGATCCTGCAACAAAATCCAGATAGTATTACTTATTAATAATTATAATAAATATCCACATTTAATTGAATATCAGATAACTGAATAACCTGTTCATACATACAAAAAAAAATTTATTTTCATTTGAAATTAATGTTAAATCTTCTCACTAAAAGGATAAGATTACCAGACCTCATTTAATTGCATAAAAAAAGCAAAAAATATTTCCCTTAAAAGAGATGTTTCACCAGCTACATAGAATTAAACTCCTGTTTTTCAGGCATGAAGAGAATACAATATATGGTAATTTCAATAGAAACTTTCTACAGATTTCCTGCTCTAAACAGGTGTCGAGATAGTTTAAGAAATAATGAAGTCTCTTTAGCTCGTTAGTAAAAGAGGGGGAGGGTTTCTCACACTGTACTCACAATTTTTAGAACCTGGGAAGGTAAGAAGTGGAAATGTTAAGCTAAATGCTTATCAAAGAAATATCCTATCCTAGATCTTTTTTTAAAAGGAAATATTGTATTCATATAAATTGTGTACATTGTACTTTTCATTAGCATTAAATTATTTTTTATCTATATTAAAATGTTATATTTTATGATATTAATTTTATCAATTATAATTGTTTCTTCACAATTAAAATGAGATTATTTCTTCAAGACATTATACTATGAAAATTGCAAATAAATTAGAAGTAAAATTTATTAAAAGCAAAGCATTTAAGATTGATTAATGCACTAATTTTAATTTAATAACTCACTTATTTGAGCACAGTTGGCTAGAATTAATGTTATTCCTTTAAGCAGGGCTAAATATAATTATTAGTATTAAGTACTAAGATTACTTTTACAGGAATTAAAGTAACAGGAGAAAAAAATAAGATTTATCGCAACAGTTTTAGAGTTTTGAAAATTAACACTTAAAAGATTATTTAAAACTTTTAATTTGATTTTATAAAATAGAAATCACTTATATGCACTTTATTCTTTCTCTGAAATTCCATGCATTTTCATTTAATGACAACCCTTTTAAAATTTTTGATTTTGTATGCCTCCTTAGCATATTTGTAAAGGTTGACTTTACTAAGAGAAGAAAATTTGTATGGAGTAAAATCAAATTTCAGGATTATTTGCCTTCAATGTCATAAATTTTAAACCAGATAAGTTCACGAAAAAATTAGTTACCTCAGAATAGTTATTGTAAGAAACAATGAAGATACATGTTTTAATGTCTTGTTTATTGATTTTCAAAAAGAGTACTTGATATGCAAGAGATTGCACACCAAAAAAGGAGGAATACGAGTTTCTGACAAGCAATTTAGAAAGTTATGAATTATCAAACAATTTGGCATAAGTAACTACAATCTTTTAATGTGAAGATTGTAACATTTTACAAATGCAATTTAACTGAACATTAGATTTCCACTTTGGGCACATGGATAGGGATACAAACTAAGAAATTTTAGTTAACAGTCCCTTGGACCCGTCAAGTTTTCTGGGTAGTGTGATAAAAATTTTATTAGTCAATATACACTCTCACTCTTCAATTTAAATGCCTACATTAGATCTTTAAGAAACATTTTCAAAAGACTGAAACTATAAAAAATAAATATATTACAATATTTAGTCTAAACATTTAGAATCATGGATTAACACTTTCAATGCAAACTAAACTGCATAATATAAGATTTTAGTAAACTTTAAGAATAATAGTATTTTGAGAAATATGAGAGCAAAAAATTTATATTTCATTCATCTCTATAAATTATTTGAATGAGTTGGAACCCTCCCCCCAAAGTCGTTACATTTTTTTTTTAAATTAAAGATTCAATACACTGCTGATGCATGTGCAAATACTTCTTGCTTTTCTGTCTAATTTTCTAAAGAAAATATGGTATTATTACAACCACCTGCATAAGATACCTCAAGAGACAAAAATAAATTTTTAAAAAAAATTTTGGAATGATTTTTCAAACAAAGATAAATTTGCACTCTGACAAATGATTTAATAATCAAATGGAATTTTTTTTTTCTATTTATAGACAAGATTCATTAAAAATTTATCTTTACAACACTGATTAAATTAGGCTAAAAGTTGTATGAGAAATATTATGAAGTACCAGGGAAATATAATTTTGATAGAGATGGTCATCTTTTTCAATAAAAATTCTGTACATGTTGGAAAATTGAGAACATAGCAACAAAATAACATAATTAGTAAAAAAAAAAAAAAATTATTAAACTCTGCACAGAATCTGAATTTAACAGAATAATGCAAAGTCTGCATTTTGTTATTTAAAAATCCTTAATTTGTTCAACATCAAATTTATTATGCATCAAAGGTTATCAAAATCTTAAATATAAATGATTATCAAAACTTAATTATAATCCTGGCATATAAGCTTTAGTGATGAATACCTTAGAAATAAAATAACCCTGTCTCATGGAATACAGTGACCACTCAGAAAACAATGAAAATTACAATTAGAACTTCATATGCAGACTTAATTTTTAAAAAAAGTATACCAGGCTCTTCAGGTGAAAGAAGTTCCAAAGTCACATTTTTAACATATGTTTTCTCCGAGTCTTTTTCAAAGGTGAAAACCAAGTCGAATTCATTTTCACTACGTAATGAAAGGATCTGAGTTACGTTAGAAACATCACAGCTGCTTCTGCTTGAGTCAGCAGTAGGAGGTAGGACTAAATATCTAGTTTCATTCTGAAAATAAAAATATAGATTTTATACACATTGAATATCTTAATAAAGTACAAAAATCGACAAAATAAAGATAAATTAACTTTGTAACAAACCAAAATAATGTGTGGTTAAAGGCTTGAAATCTTTTTTCTTTCAAGTTAAAGTCTTTTGTTTCATTAAGAAAAGAACATTTCAGAACTTTTAAAGTAAAAACCCTATACAGGGAAAAAAGGCAAGCAGTTGATATTTAATTGCATATTTTATTAAGATGTGCCTTACAATAATTATAAACTACACATTTCATGATGAAATAATGTTGGCTAAATCAAACATACCTAAAAATAAACTACCAGATTCTTCTTTAAACAAATTTTAAAAGAATTTTTTTGGAATAAAAAAAAAGTTTAAAAATAAAAATTTAACTTAAATATTTAGTTTTCTTCATTATTAGTGAAGGACAAATTTTTAATGGCGAATAAATCAATGCCTTTGTTTATTACAGCCTCAGCATACTACCTTCAAAATTTAGAAAGAGGTTTAAATAGAGCCCTACGAGTTGCATAAAGATTAAAAAAATCTGCATGCTCGACAAATGTCCACTTTATTGCTGAATATCTACAGAGTTTTAATTTTTGTGAAATGTCTTCATTTCAAAGATTCAAACTTTTTACAGTTCTATTCTATACAACTTAATCCTTTTCAATTCTAAGAATTATTTTAGAAACTACCTCTGATTCCTAGAGTAAATCAAAATCTTGCTATACATTCATATAAATATGTTTACACTATATTTATGCAATATTTCAAAAGTGCTTTTAACCTTTAAATACAAAACATCTATTCAAACTTGAAAAGTGCAAAGCTTGTTTTGCCGAGATGCAGAAGATTCAATTATTTATTTTTTTAAGGTTTATTTAAAACACAGATTTAAATTATACTTAATACTCTAAATTAAAAATAATCTAGTAAAAAGTATAATCTTAAAATTTTTCTAACCATATATTAATATCAATAAATTATTCAAAAACACCTACTTTCCTTCCATAAACTTACAAACATGATTAATAATTGAAGATTTTAAATATGCTTATTCATTAGTTTACGTTTAAACTCACCATGCAAATAAAAGTTTAATATCAAATTGTTAAAGCATTAATATATGCAAACAGAAAGTTTCCTTTAGTTTACACGTATCTATGAAAGCACATAAGAAAAATCAAGCATTATCTAATGTTATTAATTTACAATGTTTGCATCGTCTCACAGTGGACAGATTGTAAAGACACAATTCCCGGTAGAACACCGAACTCAAGCATCACTGGCTGCGATTAGTAAAAGTGTAGGTGACCACTTTGGTCAGTCTATGTAGGGACCAAAGATGCGAGGTATTGGTCCCTGTTAAAATTTTCCTACTGTAAAGTGCTCGACTTTGTACACAGGTTGTTGGGCTACCAAAGCTGAGGAGCCACCCCCTCTGCAGAAGATTAAAATTCTGATGGCATGTCTTCGGATCAACCTCAGGGATGTTTCTCATACCGTCGCCAATAGCCCATTGTGCAGCTCTAGTGAGACGCAAATAAAATACCTACCTATAATGTTTGTAGCAAATTAAATAAAACGATTAAGTCTTTTTTTTACTTTCCAATTTAATGCATGCAAAGTTTAACTTTAAGGAGCATGAATACATTTTCAATTAAAAAATATGAGAACAATGGAATGATTAAAAAGGACTAAAAATATCAAAAGGGGTCATATACATAGATAAAAAGTAAAGAAAAGTGTGTTTTAGTAGAAATAATTTAATATAGAATTTTTTATTTTTAGAGTTTCATTTTAACACAATGAAGCTTCAAGTATAACAGTTCTTATAAATAATGCTGCATTAAAGAATTTACATTGATAATATTTTAAATTAATTTTGAATATTTATCAACAATTTTTGAATTTGCTTTTTATAAGAACATTTTAAAAATATAGGAATCAATAAAAACATACAAGAAATTATTTTTACACTGATACCTGAAATTTCTCTTAAAAATGAACTGAAAAAAAAAAAAAAGTCAATAAAGCATTTTTTCCTGTTAATGTTCTTAAATGTAGGAAGTAAAAGGTACAACTTAACAAGTTTTTTTTTAAATTTTTATTACAACTGTTTCTATAACTCCATCAGAAAATATACTTTGCAATGATCCATATCATTAAGAATTTTTAGAGACAATGACCTAATTTTAAATTTACTCACATTAGTTTATTTCATAAATATATTTTGACAGGATAGCAATAATAAGTAAACATTTGAAAATTACATATGACATGTTTATTAAGTGACAGACTCACATAGGCAATTAAAGACTTGTGGAGAAATTGTTTTTTTTTCTCATGTGGTTATTTTTAATGTAAAAATATTTATAAAAACAGATAATTATGTTATTTAAAGGATTTTCCCTTTAAAAAATGAAGCTTTTTTAAAAAAAGCAATTTGATTTAAACCACATTAGTTTAAATCAGCTAACCCTGTCCAAAAATTCAGATTTAAAAAGTCTTTACAACCATTAAAAAACATTTAAACAGATATACAAAATGGTCAGAAATATAAGTAATGTTCTTCAGTTTTTTTTGAAATTTTACAGAAACTGTTTTAAAAATTTCTTAGTTTATGACTACAAGAAAAAATATATTGCTAAAACCTCAAAAGTTGAAGGGTATACAGAAGGAAAAATGTTTTAATGTGGAACAAGATCTTCAATCACTTGTGAATTTAAATTATGGTATTTTGGGATCACCAAATTTATCGGCATTTAAACACAGCCTTGTAATTTTCTCTTTTTTAATGATGTGTATCTTAGTGTTTTTTTATTTTTTTTTATTAATTTCGGTTTTGTGTTTTGCCAAATTTCTGATGCAAAGCCTACATTAAATAATACATACAAGTTTCATCAATAATAAAAAATACTTACTCCAACAGATATTTTAAATCTTATTTTAAAATCTGCTTTAATGCATGTTATATTTCCCTCAGTTACATTCCAAGATGTTTCAGCTGGTGTCGGAGGAGATGGTGCAGGAGTTGGTGTGGGAGACTGTGACCAACTTACACCTAAAAGTTGGTAATTATATTCTTAGTCAGATAAGTACAATGATTTTATAAAAAAAAAAAAAAAAAAAAAAAAAAAAAAAAAAAAAAAAAAANAAAAAAAAAAAAAAAAAAAAAAAAAAAAATCAAAAACATAGTGATAGTAAAAAAGAAAAATGAAGCTGTAACAAACAAATTAGCATCTAAAGTTTAAAAATAACTAGACAAAATTCCTATGCAGAGGTTACATTCTATTTATATATATTTCAAATTATATTATAACTGCTAATAAATTATCAAACATATCACTTTTATTTAGTAAAATTTAAAAGTATCTAGACTGAAAAATAAACAAGTAACAGAGTAATAAATTTCTTTTATTCTTAGCAGAAAAAAAATGTTCACCTTTGATTAAAATTTTTTAATCCTTTACTTGCTGAACTGTCATAAAGTTTATACATTAAATATGTTTTCCTTACATCAAATAAAATTAAAAAAGGAAGGAAAAAAAGAATGTAATGATTTTTAAAATGGTAAAATATTCATAGGATTAGAAAAATAAAAATTAAATCAGAAATTATTTAAGTGAAATAAAAAATTATTATATAAAAAAAACTTTCAGTCAACAAGTTACATAGAGAGATTTATAAAGATTAAAATTTACAGTTACTGACATAGTAAAATACCAGTAACAAGACAGAAATGAGAAAGAACAATCAATACTATTAGAAGAAAAAAATGTCAACATTACGAAAAATAGAGACATGTAACAAAGAAAATTGTCCATACAACATAAAAAAAAACTGTTAATAAAGAATAAACCTAACATCAGATAAAGTTACTGGATTTAAATATTATGAAATTTAACATTCAAATTAGATTTGAAACTAAAATTCTTTATAAGTTTAATATAGATTCTAAACTAGGGGTTGATTTCTGTATGGGTACTTGTGCCAAAATTTTGCTCACTTTAAAGCGTAACCTGAAAAGAACTTTAAAAAAATAGAAATAAATTTGAAGGGTACTTATAACTAGTAGTCATTCCTAAACAAACACTTGGACAATGAACTTTAAAAAAAAAAATTTTCTTTTTAAGTTTAAAGATCCCTTTGAAGCTTTTACAATTATAATTGATGCTAAGATACAGAAATCTCTTTAGTAATCATTCCTTACAATAATAAATAAACTAAATTTGAAAAAATGAACAAAAACATGCAACATGTACCTTTAGAAACAAAATGAAGAGCAATTACTAGAAAAGAAAACAAATTATGATGCTAGTGCAGCTAAACCACTTTTTTCAACATTTTAATTCTCACTCTTCATTTAAAACAGATAAATAACTATACACAACAATAGGTTGGTCTAGTAACAATAACTAACAAAAAAATTTGTTCATAGAAGAATGACCTTGTTTTATTGTCACTGTGTCAGCGGGATGTCCGGAAATGTCATAGTTTTAGTTATCGCTTAAAAAAAATATTATATTATTATCGAATCTTTTGCTATGCTTTATAAAAAAAACAAAAAAAAACACACAGGGCTTTTATCAGTATTTGACAAGAAAAAGCCTTCTTTCTAGTATCACTTTGCATTTTCAAGATATTTACATGAAATACATTAATAACTGAAATATTGACGCAGTAATATTATATTCAAGTTAGGACAAACTACAAAATATTATATAACTTACTTAAGCTGAACAAGAAGCTGAGAAGGAAGATGACACTTTTCATTTTTATTCGATTTAAATCAGCTTAGCCTGAAAAAAAAATTGGGTTAAATTTCTAATTTCAATATACTGGAATATTTCATAAGAAGTTTGAAAGTAATGCTATATAGACCATTAAATAATTTGTACTTTATACTAAAGGAAAAGAAAATTATAAAGACCTTATAATTTCCTAAAGAAAATATTTATACTTCAAAATTTCTGGACATCAATTTTTTCGATTACGATTATGTAAGTTTAGGCATGACGTATAAAAAAATAATAATAATAAATACTTAAAAGGTAGCATAATGCAAATTAGAATAAAAAGATGACAAAGTTAGTAGCCAAGCTGACAAATTCAAGTGCCTCAAATGCGTTTGTAACGCACATACAATAACAATTGCACAATTGCGTTACACACATGCGTTAAAATTTTGACACGAAATTGCAAGTGCAGTTGGTTGTATTCGCGATCTCAACGCTCAAGTACGCCCTCTAGCGTATAGGTTATTTTCAGGCTTTCATTTATTAAGTTTTCATTTAGTTCTGTTAGAATCATTTTTAGCAGTAAACAAAAAGCAGAATTTCCCTAAAGAAAAAGCTGAAAACTTGAAAAAATGAACCCAGAACATTGATAAATCTTTCTGAAACAGAACTTGCCCAACATTTGAAGAACAATTTCTCAATAGTTTTTACCTTTCTATAATCAGCAACATAACTTCCGATTTCGTGATCGCATGCTGTTACAGATGTGTGTAACAGAAGTTTGATAGTATAAGTTCTTTGCTAATAATAATGCTCTGAATTTTTTCCATCAATGCTCATTCATGTTTTATACTTCCTTGTTAATAATACCTAATACTTCTGAGTTATACACAAAATAAAATTGCTGACGTAGTTATAATCTTGTAACATGTAACATAATCAGGGCATGTAAAAGTTTTAAGATTGTTCGAGCCCTGGTTGGTACGAACATCAAATGGAAAACAAAATGAGATGATGATAGGGTGGAGTATAGAAATAAGCAAGTGATCCATTGCAAACATCAAAACAAATTTATTGAAGGGATCAAATTTAAAGGTGTCTCTCAATTTTCTCTCGCAATCAGACAGGCTTTGATATCCTTAACTCACCATTCTCAATAGTTATATTTTAGATTTTAATAATATTTTGTATTTTTCACAACGTAAATATTAATTTGTCATTCCTAAGTATAGAATTTTAACTTCATTAATCATTTTTGAGAAAGATTCCAATTTGTGAAATTTTCTTAGCTTAAATTTGATTTATAGGATTTGATCATTTTTTCAGTCTTATCTTTTCTTTATCGATCGCTATACTACTAATAATAAATGCATATAAACAACGGCATAATTTAACTATTTATTTCCTCTTCCCGCCATTTAGGAAAATTTACGGTCCATAAAATTTTTTCTAGCACAGTAATACTGGTCGCGACTCAAAACAATAGGGAGCCAATGATTAGTTAGCGTTAGATTAAATTTCAGGGAGATGTTTTTCAGATCCACCATAGGCAAATAATAGTTTTCCATGGAAGAGGAATGCTGGGACTGAACTAATTTTACAAATTTCTAAAATGTAAATTTTTAGAAAATTGAAAAACTGCTGATATAAAAAATGTCATTTCCTTGAGGCATTTCTTGGAATATGGTAAACATTATAACAGTTTCATTTCGAAAAATGAAGAAAATTTTTAAGACACAAGCGTGAAGTAAAGCAATTTTGAGAATATAATAAAATATTCAAAATGATTACATACTTATTAAAAAAAAATAATAAAATGCACATAAGGTGGTGATCGGGAGGCAAGTAAGAGGAAATTTTTTAATTGACTCTTGTAACATTTAGAGGCCCTGCGGCAGGTGGTGACCATTAATTACAGTCCAATACCCAGTGGTAAAAAAATCCTATGAAAAAATGTTTTTACTGCTAGGATACCCTTTTGAGGCTTTCATTTTTGCTCTAAAAGCAAAAAGAGATTAGTTTTATTTTTAATTTTTTTTATTGAAGCTATCTTTCCTTTAACTTATTTCCTTATCTAATGAATTGATTTCGGAATCATGAAGTTATGACGCAGCGATAGACTTTACTGCCAAAAATCCACAAGCATGGAAATAATCATCAGAAGCATTGAAATCAATCATAATCATGTTAAATGTATATTCTATAATTAAATTAGAATTAGAGTTAAATCATCATAATTTCTCAATATAACATAAAAATAGAATGGTCTAGCTCTGTTTTCCATTGTTGTCGATGCATTTTTATAGACGTGACTATGTCACAAGCCGACTGGAAAACCTTTATTGATCAAAACCGGAGAAGATTACGTGACTTTAAAGACCACTTGAAATCATCAGGTCTCGCTGTATGATTGGCAAAATATCTCTCGTATTTCGTGAGTCAAGGATTGGAAATAATGTAGCTGAACAACCGCTTCATACAAGAAGAGAAAAGCTCTGAGTGCTTAAAAAAAATTAATTCAACACATAGGGAAACAAGTTGAAATTAATCAGTTTGAAGTTTTCAGTCTTGTACTTCAATTTCAAACTGTCTCACTAGTGAGGGAATTTCTTTAAATTTTTTTCCTTTTAAAGAAAGCTGATGGGCATTTTCCAGCGAGCAGTCACCGTAGATAAAATATATTTTTGATTTTATAATTAGGATTTTTTGTGTGCATATTTTATATCACTTGAGACAGCTTACAAATTATTTTTACGAGCCGCTTTTACCGTTAACGAATTTCATTCTAAAGATAGATAACAAAAAACAACAACCTGGGTCTTGAGTGGCTACCAGGCGCGACGGCAGGTGGTGGATAGCCGAATGTCCTGTAGCACTGACAGGATAGCCTCTGAATAACAAATAGGAGGTCGCGAACCAACTCCCGTAACCCAAGTGTTGTGCGACCCGTGCCTTGAGTGAATGGCACTGCGGTTATAGTGTCTTAACGGAGCCTCTAGTTCGATTGGCGAAAATCTAGAGTAATAGCCTTACCCAGTAACTCAGGCAATGCTGGGCTGACTTTCTTTACCTGAGCTTTTTATTTGAGGTAATTTATGGCAGAAAATGACAAAAATTCAACTCAAATTACTGCATCTGCAGGTGAAAATCCCCAAGTAGACCTTTCTGCAAAAGGAAAGGAAACTAGGGAAAAACCAACTGAAGGAGAAAAAATTAATCCTTCATCAAAAGAGGTAGAAATGACCTCTACCCAGTCAACATCTCAAGTGGGGCAGGAAGCTATTAATAGCATGACTGCTTCCATGGGTGGGATCAAACTTAAAAAAAGACTGTCTGGTGCACAGAAAAAGAAACTTGCCCGAGAAAAGAAGATGGCTGAAGGTACGTGGGTAGAAAAACCCAAACCAAAACAGAGAGGCGAGAAAAGACAAAGCCAAAGGATGGAACAAGATGTAGCCCCAAAAGCTGCCAGGAAAGAAGGACCTGAAGGTATAACCTTTAAGGAAGCTCTAACGGCAGTTAAAATGGCTGTGATTCTTGAGGGACATCCTCTTGAGCGCTTATCGGAAGAACAAGCCTTAGACCTTGAGTTCCTGATAACTAGAAAAATTTCAAGAAATGAAGAGGGTTTTGTCCCCACTTTTCTTTCTTGCAGACTAGAAAATGGGGCACTTATCATCAACTGTGCAGATCTGGGGAGTTCTAATTTGCTGGAACAGACTGTAGTTGAGTTAAACCCCTGACAGGAGCAAACTCTGTTGGTGGGAGAGGCAAGGAAACTCGTCAGAACCACTAAGATTATTGCTAAACTGCCGAAAGTCTGTAGTAAACTGGAGCCCAAAGAGGTCCTGAGAAAGATTGAGGCACAAAATGGTGGGCTAACTTCAACCGAATGGAACATGCTTCATCGGAAGAATGAACCATCAGGACAGACAATCGTCCTTAGCGTGCCTGAACTGGACGCGGCTACACTTGGCAAAAGGGGATATAAATTTTATATAGGACTTCACCAAGTTCAAGATAAAATCCTAGACAAACCTTCCAAAAACGATGGGGGTGAAGGTTCTTCAAGCCAACATCCACCACAGTAGAAGTGGCACCACTAACCTCACCAAGAAATTTCTTGATGAGGATTTTCAACTGGCCCTGATCCAAGAACCTTGGCTTGTCAGGGGAAAAATCAGTGGCCTTAAAGGAACAAAAGGTAAGCTCATTTATGATCTTAATAGTGAAGCTAGAACATGTATCCTAATAGATAAAGATATTAAGGTTCTACCTCTAACAGATTTTATTCATAGGGATTTAACAGCAGTGAAAGTCAGACTCAACATAGAGGGAAGAGATCGAGAAATTGTTTTTTGCTCAGTCTACCTACCCTATGAAGAGAAGGCTCTACCTGATTAAACACTGCATAAACTCCTGCAGTTTTGTGCAGAAAACTGCTTGCAGGTAGTCTTAGGGCTAGACTGCATTGCTCACCATACTGTCTGGGGCAGCACAGACAGAAATAAAAGAGGTGGGTGTCTTTTAGAATTTATTCTTAATTACAATTTAGATATTTTGAATAAAGGCAATGACCCTACCTTTATAACTTCTAATCGTTCTGAAGTAATTGACATTACTATAGCAACACCGGCTATTAGTAAAAATATCACGAAATGTAAAGTAGATGGGAGATCATCAGGTTCCGACCATCAAAACATCCATTTTGAAATAAACTCCAATATAAATATTGACCGCTGCTTCAGAGACCCCATGAGAACAAATTGGAAGAAATTCTAAGACGATATCATGGGGCTGACTGAACTGGGTGAAAATTATATTAGAGATAATTATGATCTAGAAATTGCAGCAGAAACTCTGCAGAGCGAAATTATAGGTTCATACAATAAAAATTGCCCAATACGTAGCAAAAGAGCATAGCTCCAATGTCCTTGTTGGAATAACTCTTTAGAAACTGAAAGGGCAAACGTCAGAAAACTCTTCAATAAAGCAAAGAAACATGGTGAGTGGGACAACTATAAAAGAGCCCTCACCAACTATAACAAAAATGTTAGAAAAAGGAAACAAGAATCCTAGAGAAAGTTCTGTGATGAATTAAATTCTATCTCTGAAGGATATCTCCAAAGAATCCTTAGAAGGGATGAACCCATAATGGTTGGCATCTTAAAGGATGAGGATGGCAACTTTGCTACCACTGGAAAAGAGATAATGGAAGTTATGGCCAAAACTCACTTTCCAGGAGCCATTGATATGGATAGCAATGAAGGACAGCATTTCATTGGATCTGTAAAAAGAATACAAAGAAATCAATGGACCTATGCTAAGAACGTTATCAATCA